AAAAAAAATAAACACAACCAAGATGAATATAAGAGAATACATATAGATTGTACGTAAATTTAAAGCAGCGAAAGAAGTATGGCTAAATAATAAGAGTAAAGAAATTGAATAACAAAGGCAGAACACACAATAAATGTATATAAGAATACAAGAACTATCAGATTTTAGAAAATATATAACAAGTAGATGAAAGATGAAATATTAATGGACAAAAAGAAGGTAATTGGAAGATGGCAGAGTTTATAAAAGAACTATACGATGATAACAGCAGACCAGACAGAGAGTCAGTAGTCTTGGGAATGACCGCCAATGCTGAAAGCAGAAGTGGAAGATGCTATAAACCACATGATGACATGTCAATCTCCAGGGCCCTGTTGCAGTGGAATGTGGAGAACATGGAACAATTCGTTTAATGAGTCAGTTAACTAAAATATTAATGAGAATGATCATGAGAAGAACAAGGTGCAAAATTAAACCAGAAATTGTAGAAGAACAGAGTGGTAAAGGCACAAACAACGCCATATTTATATTGAGAACACTTTTGGAAAGAATGATTGATATGAATATATTTGTGTTTAATTGATTACACTTGCATTCGATAATGTGAAACATACAAAATTTATTGAATTTTGGAAACCTTACTTAAACATTGGGATCTGAGAATAATAAAAAACATATACTGACAAGAAGCAGACATACGGATTGACAACCATTTTGGAACTTTTCAAAAGAGAAAACATGGCCTTAGACAGGGATGTGTACTAGCACTTGATTTATTCAATTTGTACAGTGAAATAATTTTTAGACCTATACATAGTATGCCAGGAATAGCGGTTGGTGGGCATATTGTTAACAACGTGAGATATGCTGACGATAAGGTTTTGATCGCTGAAAATGAAACACAGCTGCAATAAATTATAGCAACGGAAAGTGAAAACAGGGTTCTTAATCTGAACAGCAGAAACACAGAAGTGATGGTAATTACAATGAAAACTGACCCTCCAAAATGCAACATTAAAAAAAAAAAAAAGGTAAGTGGGACAAACCTCCGGCAAGTTGATATGTTCAAGTACTTGGGTACGATGATAACATCAGATGGAAGATGTATTAAGGAAGTTAAACGTCGAATATCTCATACAAAGGCGGCATTTTATAAAATTATTAATCCTATATTGAAATACGGAGGTGAATCATGGACAGTTGGTAAATTATTTAAAACTTATTTGGAAGCTACGAAGATTTAGTTTTATAGACATATGATAAGAATAATCTGGACAGATAAAATGAGTAATGAAGACGTCTTAAAAGAAACTGACTCGCGAAAATAACTAATTGCCCACATTAGAAAGAGACAATCTACATTCTTTAGTCATGAATAGACAGACAGATTGGTTTAGATCCGCACCAGTGGGTGGTGAATTGATACATGACAAGGCAGATGTGGTCAAGGTCCTTTGGGAACAAGCAACATAATTAGTAGAGAAAGAAGATTATTATGGTCTGGAGAGAATGAGGCACCTGGGTGTAACCAGAGGGTCTGGCCAGCTCACTACACTCAAAGGAAAGGCATGACAGACTTTTAACTAGATTGTGACCGGTACCATCAGTATTGGAACTCTGCGCTGGCTGCTGAAGATGAAGACGGAGCATGCATGGGAATGCCCCGAGTGCTGTGATGACAATTCTTGACTCAACTCAGCCTTGATTACCAAGTTGTGTGGCTAGTGTAAATATCTCCTCTTTAATGTCTGATCTACTTCCTTTTGTATAATTTCCTAGTGATTGTACTGATTAAAGAGAATCTGTCATTGTCAATTTCAGGGGGGGGGGGGGGATTTTTTGCTGCTATCTCTAAGGCTTTCATTATGCTGACTAATTAGGCTGTGAAAATTGACGTATGGTCTGTGATTTTATAAGATCTGTATACTTTCCAGTAAGGAATTTAAACACTCGTTCCTACTTCTCCACGTCAGCAGGTCCTGATAAACCTGAGGTTGTCACACAAGTCGCGAAACGAAGACCAACATCTGTACACGTACAGAGATCTGGTGGTCAGTTTGAGGAGCGATTAAGGGTACGCAGTAAAACTCTTCGCTGTCTAGGTAGGCGCAAGAGAGCTAATCTACACTTCCAAATTCAATGTACTGAAGCACCTGGGATTGTAATAAACGAGTACTAAAACAACTAGGCGAACCTGCTAAAAAAACTTCGAGCTGCTTATGGACACAACGGGACTGCGTGGGGGATAGGCCTCGGTAGACTGGTCCACCCTCCTAGTGGAAAAGAACGTTAAAATGCCTGAAGCCAAAGCTGTCCAATGAACGTCTGTCCGTGCTGCTGTCAAATTAATAATAGTAGAAAGGAGACAATGTTAAACTGAAAATGCGATAGAAGAGACACGGTTAAATTAAGAATACGAGTAAAGAGATAAGGCTGCGTGTAGAATAGGAGAGAGGTTAAATGGATAATGAGAGAAAAGAGACAATGTTAAATAGTGCAAAGAGACTAGGTTGAATATAAGAAAAATATAAGGAAAGAGGAGACAGAAACAAGACGAGATTAAATATAGAAAAAGAGACTATGTAGAATATTAGATAGTAGACATAAACAAGACCAGATTAAATGGAGAAAAGAGACTAGGTAGAATATTAGATATGAGACATAAACAAAACCAGATTAAATGGAGAAAAAAGACTAGGTTGAATATTAGATAGGAGACATAAACAAAACCAGATTAAATGGAGAAAAGAAACTAAGTTGAATATTAGATAGGAGACATAAACAAGACCAGATTCAATGGAGAAAAGAGACTGGGTTAAATATTAGACAGGAGACATAAACAAGACCAGATTAAATGGAGAAAAGAGACTACGTAGAATATTAGATAGGAGACATAAACAAGACCAGATTAAATGGAGAAAAGAAACTAGGTTGAATTTTAGATCGGAGACATAAACAAGACCAGATTAAATGGAGAAAAGAAACTAAGTTGAATATTAGATAGGAGACATAAATTAGACCAGATTAAATGGAGAAAAGAAACTAGGTTGAATTTTAGATCGGAGACATAAACAAGACCAGATTAAATGGAGAAAATAGACTAGGTAGAATATTAGATAGGAGACATAAATTAGACCAGATTCAATGGAGAAAAGAGACTATGTAGAATATTAGATCGGAGACATAAACAAGACCAGATTAAATGGAGAACGAACGAACGAACAAACTTTATTTTCAAAGGGTTACAAATTGGGCACGCAGGCCCGTCTGACATTCGGCCCTTCTAAGTACTCATTTTTCAGAGTACTAATACCTGTTATCAATAATGCATGTTATGGATTTAAAAAGAAATATATAATGCATACACACATCGTGTGTACGCCATCATACACACTCACACACACGTATACGTACATCTACATTTTCATACAGGTGAACTCATATACAGACATACGTGATATATACACACCTGCATCTACATACATGTACAAGCATACACATACATAGAAATAAATGCACAAACAGAAAAAACACACACATTCATTTATGGATATACATGCACACACGCATTCCATATATACACATCTATACACGCACCCATGCATACACACAAATACCATTACATGTACAGACACCAACATATGCCCAAAACCACACATTTACACTTACATGAATACATACACCCACACACATGCATACATATATCCACACATTTATACCTAAACTCACATCTTTACACACATACATACATACCTAAATATACTTTCATATATCCACATGCATACACACACAATCACACACACATGCATGCTTTTATAAATACACAAACACCCACATACCTACACAGCTACATATACCTGCATACACCCACATTACACATAAATATACACACACAGATACAATCACATACTTACACATTTACATTCATACATTCTCATACATACAGACATACATACATGCACCTACATACATATACGCACACATACACATGTGTACATACATAGGCTAAATCTGCATGCATACATAATACAAACATAAATCGACATACAAACATAAACACACATTTACATAGACATACATGCGCGCACACACACACATGCATACATACACACATCCATACATACACTCACATACTTACAAACATACATACATACTTGCAAACACACATAAATTCACACACATACTTACACAGATACATACATACATCCACCAACATGCATACAAACACACATACGTGCATACATACACACACATAACATACATAAAAACATATGCATGCATACACACATAACTAATCACACAAACAGACACCCTCATACAAACAGAAGAAAAGAGACTAGGCTGAATATTAGATCGGAGACATAAACAAGACCAGATTAAATAGACAAAAGAGACTAGGCTGAATATTAGATCGGAGACATAAACAAGACCAGACTGAATGGAGAAAAGAGACTAGGCTGAATATTAGATCGGAGACGTAAACAAGACCAGATTAAATAGACAAAAGAGACTAGGCTGAATATTAGATCGGAGACGTAAACAAGACCAGATTAAATAGACAAAAGAGACTAGGCTGAATATTAGATCGGAGACATAAACAAGACCAGACTGAATGGAGAAAAGAGACTAGGCTGAATATTAGATCGGAGACGTAAACAAGACCAGATTAAATAGACAAAAGAGACTAGGCTGAATATTAGATCGGAGACGTAAACAAGACCAGATTAAATGGAAAATAGAGACTAAGTTGAATATTAGATAGGAGACATAAACAAGACCAGATTGAATGGAGAAAAGAGACTAGGCTGAATATTAGATAGGAGAGAGGAGACCAAGTGAACGTTGAGTGGTTTCCCGCCACTGCACACAAGTAGGAACTCTTCTGCGAACTGGGGACAAGCCAGATCCCGTTATCTTCAAAATGGCAGACGAGATGGAAACAAGTTGCTGAAGGCAAGGCGACTTTTCTCACCAAACTACACACCGTACAGACGACAACCATGGGTCTTTCAGGGGAGGATGAAGAGAATATCTTACAGCGTTTCGAGGAGATATGCCTCGACTTGAACATGGATGCCACGACTAAAGAAGAGGCATGGCAAAACTACCAAAAAATTCAGACCAATTTCACTCTAGAGGTGGGTCAATCGTGTTTTCCGCATTTCTGTAAAGTTTTTCTTAGTTTCGTTGTGCAGGTTTTACTGACAGTTTTCGTCTCCCAATACATGCTTGGTGTTTAGTTAAACTGTGTAGCTCTAATAGAACTTTAACTCCGGCTGTGTTTATGAAATTATCCAGTTATGTTAATGCAAATATTCGTACACTACACGGGTGAGCTAACGGGAACAGTTCACACCTGGGTGACGGAACGGTTTATATGGCAGATCTGACAGACTTCTAGTCGCCACTCACTGTCTGCGGATGGCGTGTCTGTTTCTATTATTTCTGGTTTACAGATTCTCATTTTGTTAGAATAGGACACATTAATTCATTTTACAAATTCTTAGGTGCAAAAAGTAGTAAAATAATAATAATAGTATTTTCTGCTGTCAGTTATGATGATTATTACATTCCATAAGGGAGCATATGGGCATTTGCCCTCAACCAGCTGAGATCTGGTGGCGTTGTCTTGTTGCCATTATTGGTAGTAACACACCATATCTTCTTCCTGTAATATTGCTGTCTCTTTTTATCTTCACCACGTTTGTTAGCACCTCTCCCCATTTTTATTGCCTTGTGTGTTCTAGAATAAGGATAAGGAGTTTCTAGTTAACACATGCTTCACTGTGTCAACAAATGCTTGAAGAAGTCAGATGACAGATGTATCTACTGAATGACATGTAGATTACAACTTTGCTGTACACAGGCACAACACATTTACATGATAGTAACAGACTATCAGACACAACTTTGCTGTAAACAGGCACAACACATTTACATGATAGAAACAGACTATCAGACACAACTTTGCTGTAAACAGGCACAACACATTTACATGATAGTAACAGACTATCAGACACAACTTTGCTGTACACAGGCACAACACATTTACATGATAGTAACAGACTATCAGACACAACTTTGCTGTACACAGGCACAACACATTTACATGATAGTAACAGACTATCAGACACAACTTTGCTGTACACAGGCACAACACATTTACATGATAGTAACAGACTATCAGACACAACTTTGCTGTACACAGGCACAACACATTTACATGATAGTAACAGACTATCAGACACAACTTTGCTGTACACAGGCACAACACATTTACATGATAGTAACAGACTATCAGACACAGAAGATTGCTAATCCAAATGGTCAGAAGATTACATTGATGAGGGATACTACTAATATCAGTCATTGTGTTACCTGAAAACATGATATGGTATCAGCTAGCTGATGACAAATGTGTGTATATTCTCAGTCATCTGTGACCATTGTGTGTGAGCATCTTTGATTTCTGTTTCATTAATGTGCGAGCAGCAGTGTTGACTTTAGCTTCATATTTATGTAAGTATAATTTTGTTTCTTTGTTATGTGTGGGCATTTGTGTTTACTTGTTTGATTATTGTGTGCGAGCATCAGTGTTGACTTGATTGTAGTGTGGGTGCATCCGCGCTGATTGTTGTGTGGCAGCATTAGTATTGACTTGATTGTTATAAGGGTGGAATCATCAGTGTTGACTTACTATTCTAAATACAAAAATTATCTGTTTCAGGGTGACCAGATGCACTGGCTGGCATGTGCACTGTATGAAGCCTGCCGCCGTACATCTGTTCCAACAGTTGGTCGTGGGACTGTGGAAGGGAACTGTGTCTCACTGACCAGGTTACTCAGATCATCCAAGTTCAGGTAATATTTTCATCGGCAGCTAAAGAGAACACAACCACTATAACCTATCACACCTTTTTCTTTGACCACTTGCTGCTGTTTGTATCTTCTGTTTAGATATATTTGAAAGTCTGTTCTCTGTTGCTGGATTTAAACTCAACATAGACCTTTGAAAGTCTGTCCTCTGTCACTGGCTGTGAACTAGACATAGATCTTTGAAAGTCTTTCCTCTATCACTGGCTGTGAACTAAACTAGAGAGACATCTTTGAAAGTCTTTCCTCAATCACTGGCTGTGAACTAGACATACGTCTTTGAAACTCTTTCATAGTTGCTGGCTGTAAACTAGACATCAGTCTTTGAAAGTCTTTCCTTTGTGACTGGCTGTGAAATAGACAATGATCTTTGAAAGTCTTTTATTTGTCACTGGCTGTGAAAGAGACAATAACCTTTGGAAGTCTTTCATCTGTCACTGGGTGTGAACTAGACAGATGTCTTTGAAAGTCTTTTATTTGTCACTGGCTGTGAAAGAGACAATAATCTTTGGAAGTCTTTCATCTGTCACTGGGTGTGAACTAGACAGATGTCTTTGAAAGTCTTTTATTTGTCACTGGCTGTGAACTAAACTAGAGAGACATCTTTAAAAGTCTTTTATTTGTCACTGGCTGTGAAAGAGACAATAATCTTTGGAAGTCTTTCATCTGTCACTGGGTGTGAACAAGACAGATGTCTTTGAAAGTCTTTCAACTGTCACTGGCTGTGAACTAGACAAACATCTTTGATAGTATTTCCTCTATCACTGACTGTTAACTAAACTAGACACACATCTTTAAAAATCTCTCCTCTATCAGTGGCTGTGAACTAGACAAACATCTTTACAGTCTTTCCTTTGTCAGTAGCTGTGAACTAAACTATGGAGAGGTCATTCAAAGTCTTTCCTCTCTCACTGGCTGTGAACTAAACTATACATTTATAATAGTAAACCACGTACAGTCTTGTATGGGTATGTGAATATTGGCGTGTGAGTAGTAAACCACTTAAGTCTTATCTTGTTTGGGTATGTGAATCTGGGCGTGTGCGTAGTAGACCATGTACACTCTTTTATGGGTGTGTGAATCTGGGTATGTGAGTAGTAAACCACTTAAATATTGTATGAGTATGTAAATCTGGGCGTGTGAGTAGTAGACCACAAACATAGTCTTGTATGGGTGTCAATCTGGGCGTGTGAGTAGTAGACCACAAACATAGTCTTGTATGGGTGTGTCAATCTGGGCGTGTGAGTAGTAGACCACAAACATAGTCTTGTATGGGTGTGTGAATTTTACTTTGTGATGCAGATTTCTTGTGTATTTGCACTTTGCCTCCGAACTAGAGAAAAGTATTGATCTATTTCTCTGATGTGATATGGTGATATTTTTGCCCTATAGCTTTGAAACTGTTGGACATGTTTTATCCTGTCCTGCAGCGGCAGGAAATCCAGTTCCTTTTTATCATCCTAATTACCACCCTCATTATGAACATCACCACCTCCCTCATTATGAACATCACCACCACCCTCATTATGAACATCACCACCACCTTCATTATTAACACTACCACCTCCCTCATTATGAACATCACCACCACTATCAACGTGATGTTAACACATAATCTCTTGCACTAAAGTTGTCAGTACTTAACCACCACTATCAGTGTCATTTACCATTGTATCTCCTACACCAGAGTTGTCAGTACTTAAACACCACTATCAGTGTCATTTACCATTGTATCTCCTACACCAGAGTTGTCAGTACTTAAACACCACTATCAGTGTCATTTACCATTGTATCTCCTACACTAAAGTTGTCAGTACTTAACCACCACTATCAGAGTCATTTAACATTGTTTCTCCTGCACCAGAGTTGTCAGTACTTAAACACCACTATCAGTGTCATTTACCATTGTATCTCCTGCACGAACGCTGTCAATATCATCACCACCACCCCACAGTCACCATATATAATGTCAGGAACTGTGTGATGTGCTAGTCTTATATCCATTGGAAGAGGACTTCTCACATTATCCTTCAGTTGTATCTGGTAATCTGGTAGTTTCAGCTTCATAGCAACAATTTGAAATGTATTTGCTAGCCATAGTCATGATACTTGTGCTAGCTGTATTGCTGCGTGTGTCACATTGTGGACAGAAAATATCACCATACACTCAGACTAGTTGCAAGTGAAGCTGATGGTGTTTACTGTTCACCTGATGCTCAGGTCTGTCCACAGCCTCATCCAGTTCTTCAACAAGATGCGCAAGTGGTCTGACATGGCCAGTCTGCCCAAAAGTTTCCGCGACAAAATTGACAAACTGGAGCGCAACTTTGCTGTTTCCACGGTGATCTTCAAGAAGTTTGAGCCCATCTTCCTGGACATATTTGTCAATCCTGCCCAGGAAGTGCCTCGACAACAGAGGAGTAGAAAACAGAGGTAACTGATTTATTTCTGTCTTTTCAGTAATCAGGCTACATTCATGTGTCTTGTAGGGCAATGTTTAAAGTTTGTTTCTGATAGGAAGATGAATGTGTCAGGATTATATTGTCCTAATAGCTGTGTATTCTGCTAGGAAGATGAATGTGTCAGGATTATATTGTCCTTTTAGCTGTATGTTCTGCTAGGAAGATGAATGTGTCAGGATTATATTGTCCTTATAGCTGAATGTTCTGCTAGGAAGATGAATGTGTCAGGATTATATTGTCCTTATAGCTGTATGTTCTGCTAGGAAGATGAATGTGTCAGGATTATATTGTCCTTATAGCTGTATGTTCTGCTAGGAAGATGAATGTGTCAGGATTATATTGTCCTTATAGCTGTATGTTCTGCTAGGAAGATGAATGTGTCAGGATTATATTGTCCTTATAGCTGTATGTTCTGCTAGGAAGATGAATGTGTCAGGATTATATTGTCCTAATAGCTGTATGTTCTGCTAGGAAGATGAATGTGTCAGGATTATATTGTCCTTATAGCTGTATGTTCTGCTAGGAAGATGAATGTGTCAGGATTATATTGTCCTTATAGCTGTATGTTCTGCTAGGAAGATGAATGTGTCAGGATTATATTGTCCTTATAGCTGTATGTTCTGCTAGTAAGATAAATTAGTCAGGATAATGTTTTAGTTAGAAGATTAGATTGATTTGATTTTGATTTAATTTGATTCAAGAACCGACATCACAGCACTTGGGGCATTCCCATAAGCACCCCGTCCCCATCTTCAGCAGCCAGCGAAGAGTTCCAATACTAATGGTGCCAGTAGCATTCTGATTGAACGATTGCCTTTCGTCTGAGCCTCGAGCATCTGTCAGAACCTCTCGTCACTCCCCCCTGCATCAATCTCACCAGACTGTGGTGATCCAACTGCTCCTCCGAACTGAACACGCTCTCACACAAGGCTCTAACCACGTCTACCTTATCATGCATCAGTATTCCACCAAGCTGTGCAGAGCAGCTAGTATGTCCGCCTGTTGATTTCCCAACACACTGGCGTTACCTGGTGAAAAAATCCAGCCAATATTCCTCACCCGTGTCCTCCGCTGCGAGGCATGCCACTCTGCACGAAGCATGCATGTCCTGATCCTCCTCAGCATGCTTTCTGAGTGAGTTACAACCACAATGTGTGTCATGTTCTCTAGCCAGCGAAAAGCTACAGTGACCGCCTCCACCTCCATTCTTAAGCTGGATGTTGTGGTATCATATGCTAGGGTCTCCTGCACCAAACGTCGACCATTAACTTTTGCTAAGAAACCCCAAGCACTTCTATTGCCTCTTGATACTGAACCGTCTGTGTAAATGATAAAATCTTCCGAGCGAGCATTATCTTGAATTAATTGCTGAATGTCCACCTCTGTGGCACCTGCTGGCCAGTCTTTACATTCCCAGCTCAGTGTGATTATGACCCTACAGAAGTCTGACTGTTCACGTGGCACTTTGATCCACTCCTCTCCTCGCCTATGGAAGATTAGAATGTAAGGACTACATTATTTTAGTAGATTAATGTGTCAGATTACATTATGTCACTAGATTATTGTGTCAGGATTACATTCTGCTAGTAGATTAATGTGTCTGGATTACATTCTGCTATCAGATTAATGTATCATGATTATATTCTACTAGTAGACAAACTTGTTAGGATTGTATTCTGCTAGTGGAATAATGCATAAGGATTACATTTTGCTAGCAGATTAACAAGTAAGGATTACATTCTGCTAGTAGATTAATGTGTCAGGATTACATTTTACTAGTAGATTAATGTGTAAGAGTTACATTCTGCTAATAGACTAATTCAAGATTATTTTCTTTTGGGAAGATTCATGTGTCAGGATTATGTTTTTTTAAGAAGATTAATATGACATCATTATGTCCTTCTGGGAAGATTCAAAAGTCTGGATTATGTTCTGGTAGGAAGAAGATTCATATGTAAGCATGTTGAAAGATGAAGTGAAACGTAATTAAACTGTGGAATTGTATGAGCATTGCAGGTTGTGCATGTGCCTGCCAAGGCGTGATCTGTGCGAAATGTCCTGAATTGTTGCAGGCCACTTGGGCTGTAAATAAATAGGTACCACATGTTTCCAGAATTGTCTGGGGAGAAAAGGCTATGAGAAAGTAAACTAGCCTACCTTTCTCATATGCCATTGCCTAGAGTGTCTGAAGGTAAAACACTTCACACCCCAATGGCTGGAGCTGCTCTGAGGATTTCAACTGACTGTTGGAACCCGGGCTTAAATAGTTGTGAAAAACTGGTGGATAAAACATATTGTGTTGGTGGCTTTGAGAAAGTCACATGGGGAAGTGGAAGTATCATGGATTGATTTGAAATCTGATTTCTTTACTTGCAGACGACATCCATGCACATCCAATGAAGTCTTCAGCTTTGCCTGGACCATGTTTGTACAAGTGAAAGGTGAGGGAAGTGAAGTCAGAAACAATGTGTACAAGTGTCCAGTGTTGGATCAGTGGCCAAACATGTGTGTACAAGTGTCCAGTGCTAGATCAGTGGCCAGATGTGTGTACAGGTGTCCAGTGCTAGATCAGTGGCCAGACGTGTGTACAGGTGTCCAGTGTTAGATCAGTGGCCAGACATGTTTGTACAGGTGTCCAGTGCTAGATCAGTGGCCAGATGTGTATACAGGTGTCGAGTGTTAGATCAGTGGCCAGACATGTTTGTACAGGTGTCCAGTGTTAGATCAGTGGCCAGACGTGTTTGTACAGGTGTTCAGTGTTAGATCAGTGGCCAGATATGTTTGTACATATGTCCAGTGTTAGATCAGTGGCCAGACATGTTTGTACAGGTGTCCAGTGTTAGATCAGTGGCCAGACATGTTTGTACAGGTGTCCAGTGCTAGATCAGTGGCCAGATATGTTTGTACAGGTGTCCAGTGTTAGATCAGTGGCCAGACGTGTTTGTACAGGTGTTCAGTGTTAGATCAGTGGCCAGATATGTTTGTACATATGTCCAGTGTTAGATCAGTGGCCAGACATGTTTGTACAGGTGTCCAGTGTTAGATCAGTGGCCAGACATGTTTGTACAGGTGTCCAGTGCTAGATCAGTGGCCAGATATGTTTGTACAGGTGTCCAGTGTTAGATCAGTGGCCAGACATGTTTGTACAGGTGTCCAGTATTGGATCAGTGGCCAGACATGTTTGTACAGGTGTCCAGTGTTAGATCAGTGGCCAGACATGTTTGTACAGGTGTCCAGTGTTAGATCAGTGGTCAGACATGTGTGCACAGGTGTCCAGTGTTAGATCAGTAGCCAGACATGTTTGTACAGGTGTCCAGTGTTAGATCAGTGGCCAGACATGTGTGTACAGGTGTCCAGTGTTAGATCAGTGGCCAGATGTGTGTGTACAGGTGTCCAGTGTTAGATCAGTGGTCAGACGTGTTTGTACATGTGTCCAGTGTTAGATCAGTGGTCAGACGTGTTTGTACAGGTGTCCAGTGTTAGATCAGTGGCCAGACATGTGTGTACAGGTGTCCAGTGTTAGATCAGTGGCCAGACATGTGTGTACAGGTGTCCAGTGTTAGATCAGTGGCCAGACATGTTTGTACAGGTGTCCAGTGTTAGATCAGTGGCCAGGCATGTTTGTACAGGTGTCCAGTGTTAGATCAGTGGCCAGACATGTGTACAGGTGTCCAGTGTTAGATCAGTGGCCAGACATGTTTGTACAGGTGTCCAGTGTTGGATCAGTGGCCAGACATGTTTGTACAGGTGTCCAGTGTTAGATCAGTGGCCAAACATGTGTGTACAGGTGTCCAGTGTTAGATCAGTAGCCAGACATGTTTGTACAGGTGTCCAGTGTTAGATCAGTGGCCAGACATGTGTGTACAGGTGTCCAGTGTTAGATCAGTGGCCAGATGTGTGTACAAGTGAAAGAGAAGTCAGAGACAAAGTGTACAGGCTGTTTGAGATCAGATATTTGTACTGGGGATAGAGAAGGCAGACGCAATGTGTACAGACTGTCTGTGGTCAAAGATGTTTGTCCTAGCGGGTTTTTAGCCTCACAATTTACTGTAACCATATCCTAATGAATTAAAAAAGTCATGAACTCAAATATCCCCCCATGTCCTACTGAACTAAAAAAGTCAACAACAAGCAAATAGAGATCCTTTATGGTAGTTATTTATTCTTGGACAGGTAATTTCCCAGCCATCAGTGACGACCTGGTCAACTCCTACCACTTGCTGCTATGTTGTATAGACTGGATCTATTCTAATGCTCTCCTTAGTGCTAGGAAAGATCTGCTCAACTGTGATTTTGAAGGTAAGTTTGTAGCAATTTGTTCATCCAGTTTGTAGCAGCTTTTGTATAGTGTGTTTATTAGTGAGGTTGTAACAGATTTTGTATAGTGAGTTTATTAGGGAGGTTGTAGCAGCTTTTGTATAGTGTGTTTATTAGTGAGGTTGTAGCAGCTTTTGTATAATGAGTTTATTAGTGAGGTTGTAGCAGCTATTGTATAGTGAGTTTATTAGTGAGGTTGTAACAGCTTTTGTATAGTGAGTTTATTAGTGAGGTTGTAACAGCTTTTGTATAGTGTGTTTATTAGTGAGGTTGTAACAGATTTTGTATAGTGAGTTTATTAGTGAGGTTGTAACAGATTTTGTATAGTGAGTTTATTAGTGAGGTTGTAACAGATTTTGTATAGTGAGTTTATTAGGGAGGTTGTAGCAACTTTTGTATAGTGAGTTTATTAGTGAGGTTGTAGCAGCTTTTGTATTTATTAGTGAGGTTGTAGCAGCTTTTGTATAGTGAGTTTATTAGTGAGGTTGTAGCAGCTTTTGTAGAATGAGTTTATTAGTGAGGTTGTAGCAACTTTTGTATAGTGAGTTTATTAGTGAGGTTGTAGCAGCTTTTGTATAGTGAGTTTGTAGCAGCTTTTGTATAGTGAGTTTGTAGCAGCTTTTGTATAGTGAGTTTGTAGCAGCTTTTGTATAGTGAGTTTGTAGCAGCTTTTGTATAGTGAGTTTGTAGCAGCTTTTGTATAGTGAGTTTGTAGCAGCTTTTGTATAGTGAGTTTGTAGCAACTTTTGTATAGTGAGTTTATTAGTGAGGTTGTAGCAGCTTTTGTATAGTGAGTTTGTAGCAGCTTTTGTATAGTGAGTTTGTAGCAGCTTTTGTATAGTGAGTTTATTAGTGAAGTTGTAGCAGCGTTTGTATAGTGAGTTTATTAGTGAGGTTGTAGCAGCTTTTGTATAGTGAGTTTATTAGTGAGGTTGTAGCAGCTTTTGTATAGTGAGTTTATTAGTGAGTTTGTAGCAACTTTTGTATAGTGAGTTTATTAGTGAGGTTGTAGCAGCTTTTGTATAGTGAGTTTATTAGTGAGGTTGTAGTAGCTTTTGTATAGTGAGTTTGTTAGTTGAGGTTGTAGCAGCTTTTGTATAGTGAGTTTATTAGTGAGGTTGTAGCAACTTTTGTATAATGAGTTTATTAGTGAGGTTGTAGCAACTTTTGTATAGTGAGTTTATTAGTGAGGTTGTAGCAGCTTTTGTATAGTTAGTTTATTAGTGAGGTTGTAGTAGCTTTTGTATAGTGAGTTTGTTAGTGAGGTTGTAACAGCTTTTGTATAGTGAGTTTATTGGTGAGGTTGTAACAGCTTTTGTATAATGAGTTTATTAGTGAGGTTTTAACAGCTTTTGTATAGTGAGTTTATTAGTGAGGTTGTAACAGCTTTTGTATAGTGAGTTTATTAGTGAGGTTGTAACAGCTTTTGTATAGTGAGTTTATTAGTGAGGTTGTAGCAGCTTTTGTATAGTGAGTTTATTAGTGAGGTTGTAGTAGCTTTTGTATAGTGAGTTTGTTAGTTGAGGTTGTAGCAGCTTTTGTATAGTGAGTTTATTAGTGAGGTTGTAGCAACTTTTGTATAATGAGTTTATTAGTGAGGTTGTAGCAACTTTTGTATAATGAGTTTATTAGTGAGGTTGTAGCAACTTTTGTATAGTGAGTTTATTAGTGAGGTTGTAGCAGCTTTTGTATAGGGAGTTTATTAGTGAGGTTGTAGTAGCTTTTGTATAGTGAGTTTGTTAGTTGAGGTTGTAGCAGCTTTTGTATAGTGAGTTTATTAGTGAGGTTGTAGCAACTTTTGTATAATGAGTTTATTAGTGAGGTTGTAGCAACTTTTGTATAGTGAGTTTATTAGTGAGTTTGTAGCAGCTTTTGTATTGTGAGTTTATTAGTGAGTTTGTAGCAGCTTTTGTATAGTGAGTTTATTAGTGAGGTTGTAGCAGCTTTTGTATAGTGAGTTTATTAGTGAGGTTGTAGCAGCTTTTGTATTGTGAGTTTATTAGTGAGTTTAAAGCAGCTTTTGTATAGTGAGTTTATTAGTGAGGTTGTAGCAGCTTTTGTATAATGAGTTTATTAGTGAGGTTGTAGCAGCTTTTGTATAGTGAGTTTATTATTGAGTTTGTAGCAGATTTTGTATAGTGAGTTTATTAGTGAGGTTGTAGCAGCTTTTGTATAGTGAGTTTATTAGTGAGGTTGTAGCAGCTTTTGTATAGTGAGTTTATTAGTGAGGCTCAGCAGCTTTTGTATAGTGAGTTTATTAGTGAGGCTTAGCAGCTTTTGTATAGTGAGTTTATTAGTGAGGTTGTAACAGCTTTTGTATAGTGAGTTTATTAGTGAGGTTGTAACAGCTTTTGTATAGTGAGTTTATTAGTGAGGTTGTAGCAGCTTTTGTATAGTGAGTTTATTAGTGAGGTTGTAGCAGCTTTTGTATAGTGAGTTTATTAGTGAGGTTGTAGTAGCTTTTGTATAGTGAGTTTGTTAGTTGAGGTTGTAGCAGCTTTTGTATAGTGAGTTTATTAGTGAGGTTGTAGCAACTTTTGTATAATGAGTTTATTAGTGAGGTTGTAGCAACTTTTGTATAATGAGTTTATTAGTGAGGTTGTAGCAACTTTTGTATAGTGAGTTTATTAGTGAGGTTGTAGCAGCTTTTGTATAGTGAGTTTATTAGTGAGGTTGAAGTAGCTTTTGTATAGTGAGTTTGTTAGTTGAGGTTGTAGCAGCTTTTGTATAATGAGTTTATTAGTGAGGTTGTAGCAACTTTTGTATAATGAGTTTATTAGTGAGTTTGTAGCAGCCTTTGTATTGTGAGTTTATTAGTGAGTTTGTAGCAGCTTTTGTATAGTGAGTTTATTAGTGAGGTTGTAGCAGCTTTTGTATAGTGAGTTTATTAGTGAGGTTGTAGCAGCTTTTGTATTGTGAGTTTATTAGTGAGTTTAAAGCAGCTTTTGTATAGTGAGTTTATTAGTGAGGTTGTAGCAGCTTTTGTATAATGAGTTTATTAGTGAGGTTGTAGCAGCTTTTGTATAATGAGTTTATTATTGAGGTTGTAGCAGCTTTTGTATAGTGTTTATTAGTAAGGTTGTAGCAGCTTTTGTATAATGAGTTTATTAGTGAGGTTGTAGCAGCTTTTGTATAGTGTTTATTAGTGAGGTTGTAGCAGCTTTTGTATAGTGAGTTTATTAGGGAGGTTGTAGCAGCTTTTGTATAGTGTTTATTAGTAAGGTTGTAGCAGCTTTTGTATAATGAGTTTATTATTGAGGTTGTAGCAGCTTTTGTATAATGAGTTTATTAGTAAGGTTGTAGCAGCTTTTGTATAATGAGTTTATTAGTGAGGTTGTAGCAGCTTTTGTATAATGAGTTTATTAGTGAGGTTGTAGCAGCTTTTGTATAGTGAGTTTATTAGGGAGGTTGTAGCAGCTTTTGTATAGTGAGTTTATTGGTGAGGTTGTAGCAGCTTTTGTATAATGAGTTTATTAGTGAGGTTGTAGCAGCTTTTGTATAGTGAGTTTATTGGGGAGGTTGTAGCAGCTTTTGTATAGTGAGTTTATTGGTGAGGTTGTAGCAGCTTTTGTATAGTGAGTTTATTGGTGAGGTTGTAGCAGCTTTTGTATAGTGAGTTTATTGGTGAGGTTGTAGCAGCTTTTGTATAGTGAGTTTATTGGTGAGGTTGTAGCAGCTTTTGTATAATGAGTTTATTAGGGAGGTTGTAGCAGCTTTTGTATAGTGAGTTTATTGGTGAGGTTGTAGCAGCTTTTGTATAATGAGTTTATTAGTAAGGTTGTAGCAGCTTTTGTATAGTGTTTATTAGTAAGGTTGTAGCAGCTTTTGTATAATGAGTTTATTATTGAGGTTGTAGCAGCTTTTGTATAGTGTTTATTAGTAAGGTTGTAGCAGCTTTTGTATAATGAGTTTATTATTGAGGTTGTAGCAGCTTTTGTATAGTGTTTATTAGTAAGGTTGTAGCAGCTTTTGTATAATGAGTTTATTATTGAGGTTGTAGCAGCTTTTGTATAGTGAGTTTATTAGTGAGTTTGTAGCAGATTTGTATAGTTAGTTTATTAGTGAGTTTGTAGCAGCTTTTGTATTGTGAGTTTATTAGTGAGGTTGTAGCAGCTTTTGTATAGTGTTTATTAGTAAGGTTGTAGCAGCTTTTGTATAATGAGTTTATTATTGAGGTTGTAGCAGCTTTTGTATAGTGTTTATTAGTAAGGTTGTAGCAGCTTTTGTATAATGAGTTTATTATTGAGGTTGTAGCAGCTTTTGTATAATGTTTATTAGTAAGGTTGTAGCAGCTTTTGTATAATGAGTTTATTATTGTGATTGTAGCAGCATTTGTATAGTGTTTATTAGTAAGGTTGTAGCAGCTTTTGTATAGTGTTTATTAGTAAGGTTGTAGCAGCTTTTGTATAGTGTTTATTAGTAAGGTTGTAGCAGCTTTTGTATAATGAGTTTATTATTGAGGTTGTAGCAGCTTTTGTATAGTGTTTATTAGTAAGGTTGTAGCAGCTTTTGTATAATGAGTTTATTATTGAGGTTGTAGCAGCTTTTGTATAGTGAGTTTATTAGTGAGGTTGTAGCAGCTTTTGTATAGTGAGTTTTTAGCAGCTTTTGTATAGTGAGTTTATTATTGAGTTTGTAGCAGATTTTGTATAGTGAGTTTATTAGTGAGTTTGTAGCAGCTATTGTATAGTGAGTTTGTTAGTGAGTTTGAAGCAGCTTTTGTATAGTGAGTTTATTAGTGAGGCTTAGCAGCTTTTGTATAGTGACTTTATTAGTGAGGTTGTAGCAGCTTTTGTATAGTGAGTTTATTAGTGAGGTTGTAGCAGCTTTTGTATAGTGAGTTTATTAGTGAGGTTGTAGCAGCTTTTGTATAGTGAGTTTATTAGTGAGGTTGTAGCAGCTTTTGTATAGTGAGTTTATTAGTGAGGTTGTAGCAGCTTTTGTATAGTGAGTTTATTAGTGAGGCTTAGCAGCTTTTGTATAGTGAGTTTATTAGTGAGGTTGTAGCAGCTTTTGTATAGTGAGTTTATTAGTGAGGTTGTAGCAGCTTTTGTATAGTGAGTTTATTAGTGAGGTTGTAGCAGCTTTTGTATAATGAGTTTATTAGTGAGGTTGTAGCAGCTTTTGTATAGTGAGTTTATTATTGAGTTTGTAGCAGATTTTGTATAGTGAGTTTATTAGTGAGGTTGTAGCAGCTTTTGTATAGTGAGTTTATTAGTGAGGTTGTAGCAGCTTTTGTATAGTGAGTTTATTAGTGAGGCTCAGCAGCTTTTGTATAGTGAGTTTATTAGTGAGGTTGTAGCAGCTTTTGTATAGTGAGTTTATTAGTGAGGTTGTAGCAGCTTTTGTATAGTGAGTTTATTAGTGAGGTTGTAGCAGCTTTTGTATAATGAGTTTATTAGTGAGGTTGTAGCAGCTTTTGTATAGTGAGTTTATTAGTGAGGCTTAGCAGCTTTTGTATAGTGAGTTTATTAGTGAGGTTGTAGCAGCTTTTGTATAGTGAGTTTATTAGTGAGGTTGTAGCAGCTTTTGTATAATGAGCTTATTAGTGAGGTTGTAGCAGCTTTTGTATAGTGAGTTTATTAGTGAGGTTGTAGCAGCTTTTGTATAGTGAGTTTATTAGTGAGGTTGTAGCAGCTTTTGTATAGTGAGTTTATTAGTGAGGTTGTAGCAACTTTTGTATAGTGAGTTTATTAGTGAGGTTGTAGCAGCTTTTGTATAATGAGTTTATTAGTAAGTTTGTAGCAGATGTTTTAGTATTAGCGACTTACAATAAGTTTGTAGCAGTTGTTGCAGTAAGTTTGTAGCAGCTTTTTACAGTGACTTTATAGCAGCCATTACTGGAAGGCTAGTTGCTGTAAATCAAAACTTTTTACAGTGGCTAGTAACAGCTTTGTACAATGAGTTTATGGCAACTTTTGCAGTAAGTCTATTGCAACATTTACGAGTTTGTAGCAGCTTTTACAGTGAGATTGACAAACTTGTGATTGACCCCAAGGTTTGCCAGACGACATACAGAACGTCAACTGGAAGCCAGGGACTGAGGTGCCTTGTGTCATCCAACTGCTGTGTGAGAAGCATGATGGGCTGGTGGTGGAGGCCAAGACCATCAAGGAGCATTGGTGGAAGCCTCACATCAAGAGACTCTTTGAGAAGAAGGTCAGTGTCTCAGCTTTGTCCACAGATGCAGTACTAGGCATCTGATCATTAGATGCAGTTACCTGTAGCTTCTCTGTGTTTGCATGATCCAGTCAGAAAATGCATTGACAGACAGCCTTTGACACACATGCCAGCTATGTAGAATAGAAAATATTAACTCGTTACAATATATAACATGTGCTTGTTATTTCATCTCGTCACTGGTTGTCATGTTGTTGGTGATATCCTATGTTCTGCCTTTTAGCTGGTACTTGACATTTGTTGTGTTTTTCTCTATGTTAGCGACTGTTATTTGTTGTCAACCTTTCATATGCAGATTATAGTGTTATACTGTGCTGCGTAAAAGGTGTGTGTGTGTGGGGGGAATGGGGGGGGGGGGGGGGGGGGGGGGGGTCTGAGTGCATCTACCTGAGAGGTAAGGAACAAACAATTTGCACACAAAACTCAAGTCCTGAAACAAGACTAAAGTCTAGAGTTGGGCAAACTACCAGGTCTGTTGTCCATAGTTTACAGCTGGCTACGAAGAAAAAGATAGTCCATGGTGATGACGAATGTGTCTAGCAAGACCTGCTGACATTCAGAGAAATCTTCCACAAATCTTCTTGGGATTTCAGGACCACTGTTTCCTCCTTTCTGTAGCACAGTGCCAGAGTAGTGTGGATACCTTGCTAAATTGTTCATGTCATTGAATCTTATCTTCATAGGTTCTGCACGGCAAGGCCACCAATTTGTCCGGAGTGCTAGACCTAAGCAGCTTTGAGGAAAATGTGTAAGTCTTTCTGTTCTCTGCCTCTTGGTTTCAGTTTTCTGTTACAACGTATGTTGTTTATTTATATAGAGTGAGTGGGTCCTGGGATCCCAATTTGGGGAAAAGGGGGGGGGGGGGCAGGAGGGCATACTACCACTAAACAAGATGTCCTAAAAGGCAACTAATTAGAGGTTTGGGGAAATTGGATGTGTTAGGCCATGGTGCTAGTTGCTTTTGTAAGGTTGAACTCAGAAGAAGAAGAAAATGTTCTCCTCCTCCCCCCCCCCCCCCACTTAATTCATAAAGCTTATAAATATACCCTTGACCCTAGCAGTCCAGTCTATGTCTGGCTGCAATATTTCTTGTTCACATGGTCTAGTCTGTGTCTGTTTGCAGTATTTCTTGTTCACAGGATTCAGTCTGTGTCTGGCTACAGTATATCTTGTTCACAGGATTCAGTCTGTGTCTAGCTACAGTATATCTTGTTCACAGGGTCCGGTCTGTGTCTGGCTACAGTATATCTTGCTTACACGGTCTAGTCTGTGTCTAGCTACAGTATATCTTGTTCACAGGATTCAGTCTGTGTCTAGCTACAGTATATCTTGTTCACAGGGTCCGGTCTGTGTCTGGCTACAGTATATCTTGCTTACACGGTCTAGTCTGTGTCTGGCTACAGTTTATCTTGTTCACACTGTCCAGTCTGTGTCTGGCTAAAGTTTTTCCTTTTCACAGAGTCAAGTCTGTGGCTATGTCTTGTTCACAGGGTCCAGTCTATCTGGCTACAGTATGTCTTGTTCACAGGGTCTATCTAGTCTGTCAGGCCACAGTATGTCTTGTTCACAGGATCCAGTCTGTGTCTGGCTACAGTGTATCTTGTTCACGTTGTCCAGTTTGTGTCTGTGTTTGATTAGATATTGCTAGTTGTGTCTTGTGTAGACATAACTGAGGTCAGAGGAGCAGCAGGTGTGGCAAGATGACTTACCACGACTGTCATGAAAACACTGACATGATAGAGCAAGTCGTCTAGAGACATCAGCCTCATGTGTGAACAGACAACACCGGCAGTTGGACACAGATTATAACAAAAGCAACAACTTCACTGAAGTGTGAAAATAAAGATGGCTGCACATTTTGCAGAACCAGCCTCAGCATTTCTTGACTGATGGGTTTAACTACACAATTTAAGTTCTCTAGTTTGCCATTGCTTCTGAACGGTCAGCTGTCTATACCATTTTATAAAATCACCTCAGAGGGGTCTGTTGCCAGATTGCCTGCACCTGAATAAAAGTGGGTATTTTGGAATAATGAAGCTTGTTTGCAATACCTAAGCCACAGAGGCCGGTAGTGAAGTAGAGCAACTGATAATGGTTTAAGCAGCATTGCTTCATTGAGATGTCAGATGAGAAAGAAAGAGAAAGAAAGAAAGAGAGAGAGAGAGAGAGAGAGAGAGAGAGAGAGAGAGAGAGAGAGAGAGAGAGAGAGAGAGAGAGAGAGAGGTTTAGGGTCCATGATCACCCAGTATCAGTTCATTCTTCACCAGGAAGCTGAAGCACATCATGACCACCTGTAGGAATTGTTTGCAGCATTTCTTTCATGGCTACTGAGATAGAGAGAACATGTGTGCTGAGACAGGGGTAGGAATTATGAAAAACAGAGGGAGGAGAAAGAATATAAAACATGTTTTTTTTTTCTATTTACAGAAAAACGGTGAACAGTTTGTATGAAGAGTATGTGCTCAGCGTGGGAGATTTTGATGAAAGAATTTTCCTCGGTGATGATGCCAATGAAGAGATTGGAACCCCAGGCAGTCAGAACACCACCTCAGATCTAGCAGCACAAATGCAGAACAAACATTCACTGAGACAACACTTCGATGAAGTATGTTGATTTCCTATATATATATATATATATATTCATACCACCATCTGCCTCTTTGTTCTCCCATCTTTTTCCTTTCTATCTTTTCTTGTCCCCTTTTCCTTCTCCTTCTTTATTTCTTTCTCTCTATTTCCTTCTCCCTTTGTCTTTCCTTCTTCCATTCTCTTTCCTCCTCTCTCGATCTCAGATGAGCATAACTGTTTGTGAGGAGAGATAGCTAAGCTAAGGAGAGATAGATATCTGGGTGTAAGGAGAGATAGATGAGCATAGGAGAGAGATATCTGGGTGTAAGGAGAGATAGATGAGCATAGGAGAGATAGGTATCTGGGTGTAAGGAGAGATAGATGAGCATAGGAGAGATAGGTATCTGGGTGTAAGGAGAGATAGATGAGCATAGGAGAGATAGGTATCTGGGTGTAAGGAGAGATAGATGAGCATAGGAGAGATAGGTATCTGGGTGTAAGGAGAGATAGATGAGCATAGGAGAGATAGGTATCTGGGTGTAAGGAGAGATAGATGAGCATAGGAGAGATAGGTATCTGGGTGTAAGGAGAGATAGATGAGCATAGGAGAGATAGGTATCTGGGTGTAAGGAGAGATAGGAGAGATAGATGAGCATAGGAGAGATAGGTATCTGGGTGTAAGGAGAGATAGATGAGCATAGGAGAGATAGATGAGCATAGGAGAGATAGGTATCTGGGTGTAAGGAGAGATAGATGAGCATAGGAGAGATAGGTATCTGGGTGTAAGAAGAGATAGATGAGCATAGGAGAGATAGGTATCTGGGTGTGAGGAGAGATAGATGAGCATAGGAGAGATAGGTATCTGGGTGTGAGGAGAGATAGATGAGCATAGGAGAGATAGGTATCTGGGTGTAAGGAGAGATAGATGAGCATAGGAGAGATAGGTAACTGGGTGTAAGGAGAGATGATAGATGAGCATAGGAGAGATAGGTAACTGGGTGTAAGGAGAGATAGATGAGCATAGGAGAGATAGGTAACTGGGTGTGAGGAGAGATAGATGAGCATAGGAGAGATAGGTAACTGGGTGTGAGGAGAGATAGATGAGCATAGGAGAGATAGGTAACTGGGTGTGAGGAGAGATAGGTATCTGGGTGTGAGGAGAGATAGGTATCTGGGTGTAAGGAGAGATAGGTATCTGGGTGTAAGGAGAGATAGGTATCTGGGTGTAAGGAGAGATAGGTATCTGGGTGTGAGGAGAGATAGGTATCTGGGTGTAAGGAGAGATAGGTATCTGGGTGTAAGGAGAGATAGGTATCTGGGTGTAAGGAGAGATAGGTATCTGGGTGTGAGGAGAGATAGGTATCTGGGTGTGAGGAGAGATAGGTATCTGGGTGTAAGGAGAGATAGGTATCTGGGTGTGAGGAGAGATAGGTATCTGGGTGTGAGGAGAGATAGGTATCTGGGTGTAAGGAGAGATAGATGAGCATAGGAGAGATAGGTATCTGGGTGTAAGGAGAGATAGATGAGCATAGGAGAGATAGGTAACTGGGTGTAAGGAGAGATGATAGATGAGCATAGGAGAGATAGGTAACTGGGTGTAAGGAGAGATAGATGAGCATAGGAGAGATAGGTAACTGGGTGTGAGGAGAGATAGATGAGCATAGGAGAGATAGGTAACTGGGTGTGAGGAGAGATAGATGAGCATAGGAGAGATAGGTAACTGGGTGTGAGGAGAGATAGGTATCTGGGTGTGAGGAGAGATAGGTATCTGGGTGTAAGGAGAGATAGGTATCTGGGCGTAAGGAGAGATATGTATCTGGGTGTGAGGAGAGATAGGTATCTGGGTGTGAGGAGAGATAGGTATCTGGGTGTGAGGAGAGATAGGTATCTGGGTGTAAGGAGAGATATGTATCTGGGTGTAAGGAGAGATAGGTATCTGGGTGTGAGGAGAGATAGGTATCTGGGTGTGAGGAGAGATAGGTATCTGGGTGTAAGGAGAGATAGGTATCTGGGTGTGAGGAGAGATAGGTATCTGGGTGTGAGGAGAGATAGGTATCTGGGTGTGAGGAGAGATAGGTATCTGGGTGTGAGGAGAGATAGGTATCTGGGTGTGAGGAGAGATAGGTATCTGGGTGTAAGGAGAGATAGGTATCTGGGTGTGAAGAGAGATAGGTATCTGGGTGTAAGGAGAGATAGATGAGCATAGGAGAGATAGGTAAAAGAGTATGAGAACAGATAGATTAGCATAAGGAGCGATACATGAGCATAAGGAGAGAGATGAGTGTAAAGAGAGATAAGTAACTGGGTGTGAGGAGAGTCAAGTAAGTGTAAGGATAGATAGATGAGCATGCCTTAAGTAGAGATTTATGAGTGTAAGGAGAGATAAATAACTGAGTGTGAGGAAAGATAGATAACTAGGTGTGAGGAGAGATAGATAACTATGTGTGAGGAGAGATAGATAACTGGGTGTGAGGAGAGATAGATAACTGAGTTTGAAGAGAGATAGATAACTGGGTGTGAGGAGAGATAGATAACTAGGTGTGAGGAGAGATAGATAATGATGTGAGGAGAGATAACTGGGTGTGAGGAGAGATAGATAACTGGGTGTGAGGAGAGATAAATAACTAGGTGGGAGGAGAGATAGATAACTGGGTGTGAGGAGAGATAGATAACTGGGTGTGAGGAGAGATAGATAATTGGATGTGAGGAGAGATAGATAACTGGGTGTGAGGAGAGATAGATAACTGGGTGTGAGGAGAGATAAATAACGGTGTGAGAAGAGATAAATAACTGGGTGTGAGAAGAGATAGATATCTGGGTGTGAGGAGAGATTTATAACTGGGTGTGAGGAAAGATAGATAAGTGGGTGTGAGGAAAGATAGATAAGTGGGTGTGAGGAGATAGATAACTGGGTGTGAGGATAGATAGATAACTGGGTGTGAGGAGAGATAGATAACTGGGTGTGAGGAGAGATAGATAACTGGGTGTGAGGAGAGATAGATAACTGGGTGTGAGGAGAAATAGATGACTCTGTAAAGTGAAGAAAGAAGATCAAAGATCTGACACATGATTTGAAATTGATTACTTTCAGACAAAATCCCTGACACCATCCACACCATTAACTGGCAGAAGGTACTTGAGGGAGAAAGACCCCAGTGTGACACCAGTCTCCACCGCCACACAGAGTGTGTCCCGCCTGCAGACCTTGCTGTCTGGCTCCAAAACCACTCCTTCAGAGGCTCTGTTGGAGATCTTCAAGTTAGTGGATCCTCCTCAGTATCATCACATGCTATCTTATTGTCATCATCATCTGTATCATCACATGCTGCCTCATTATCATTTGGATCACCACATGCCACCTCGTCATCATTTGGATCATCAAATGCAAACTCATCATCTGTATCATCACATGCCGCCTCGTCATCTGTATCATCACATGCCACCTCGTCATCATCTGTATCATCACACGCTGCCTCGTCATCATCTGAATCATCACATGCCACCTTGTCATCATCTGTATCATCACATGCCACCTCATCATCATCTATATCATCACATGCCACCTCGTCATCATCTATATCATCACACGTCGCCTCATCATCATCTGTATCATCACACGTCGCCTCATCATCATCTGTATCATCACATGCCACCTCATCATCATCTGTATCATCACATGCCGCCTCGTCATCATTTGTATCATCACATGCTGCCTCATCATCATCTGTATCATTTTATGCTGCCTCATCATCATCTGTATCATCACATGCCGCCTCATCATCATCTGTATCATCAAATGCTGCCTCATCATCATCTGTATCATTTTATGCTGCCTCATCATCATCTGTATCATTTTATGCCGCCTCATCATCATCTGTATCATCACATGCCACCTCATCATCATCTGTATCATCACACACTGCCTCATCATCATCTGTATCATCACACGCTGCCTCATCATCATCTGTATCATCACATGCCACCTCATCATCATCTGTATCATCACATGCCGCCTCGAACACTTAGTTGCTATGACACACCAGAAATGATTGTTCAGTTTAAGACCTTTATTCGCTGAATCAAACATATCACTGACAGCGCATTCTTTCGCCCTCGTGGTCGTTCTGCCTGGCTGATTTCTGACGGCCTGGCCAAATTCTCTCGCACACTGCTTTGATCCATCTGTGTCTCTCGAATCACACATCCATCTCCTACTAAAGCCTTGTACCTGGTATTAGTACATGCAGAAACTGGCAATCAGGAAAAATTCAGATCTTCTCTCAAACAATTATATGTGTTCACAATTATTCCATTCTCTTCAGGCGTTCTCCCACATACGACCTCTCGCAACCAGGTCCGAACTTCAACCGTCTTACTACAGTCTCTCGGTTCACGTCTTCCGTTCCAGTCTCACGCTTTTCTTGTATCCCTTATTTATCTCACCCACGGGATACTCGAGACCCACTTATCTCATTTTTCTCTTGTATCACTGGTCCCCTGACCTTGTCCTCCCCATTGGGAACTCTCTGGGATTTCCCCCCGAATTCACAACATTACAACATGCCACCTCATTATCATCACATGCCACCTTGTCATCATCTTTATCATCACATGCCACCTCGTCATCATCTGTATCACCACATGCCACCTTGTCATCATCATCTGTATCACCACATGCCACCTTGTCATCCTCTGTATCACCACATGCCACCTCATCATCATCTGTATCACCACATACCGCCTTGTCATCATCTGTATCACCACATACCGCCTCGTCATCATCTGTATCATCACATGCCACCTCATCATCTGTATCATTGCATACTGTTGTAACTTCTATATCTTCATGTACAGTTGAACCTCTAGTTGCATACTGTTGTAACTTCTATATCTTCATGTACAGTTGAACCTCTAGTTGCATACTGTTGTAACTTCTATATCTTCATGCACAGTTGAACCTCTAGTTGCAGACTGTTGTAACTTCTATATCTTCATGCACAGTTGAACCTCTAGTTGCAGACTGTTGTAACTTCTATATCTTCATGTACAGTTGAACCTCTAGTTGCAGACTGTTGTAACTTCTATATCTTCATGTACAGTTGAACCTCTAGTTGCAGACTGTTATAACTTCTATATCTTCATGTACAGTTGAACCTCTAGTTGCAGACTGTTGTAACTTCTATATCTTCATGTACAGTTGAACCTCTAGTTGCAGACTGTTGTAACTTCTATATCTTCATGTACAGTTGAACCTCTAGTTGCAGACTTAATGATTAATTTGACTCTGCTCATGACTTTGCTAGCTGAAACATTTTTTTCAATTGTGACCAATGCAAATTGAATTCGTCTGTTCGCCTGCACCAGAAACATATTATTTGCCTTTTTTAAATAGATGTATTAGTGACAGATGTATACAGATTAACCTTTGTGTATGATAGTTGATGGCACAGGTAGATTTATACAGATTAACTTTTGTGTATGATAGTTGATGGCACAGGTAGATATATACAGATTAACTTTTGTGTATGATAGTTGATGGCACAGGTAGATATATACAGATTAACTTTTGTGTATGATAGTTGATGGCACAGGTAGATATATACAGATTAACTTTTGTGTATGATAGTTGATGGCACAGGTAGATGGTAGAGGAGGAGGAAGACTACACCTTCGAAGGAAAGGCCCATTTCACCATAACATTAGGCAGTGTCGGAATTTCTGGGATTTTTTCTTCTGCATCCTGTGAAGTGGTTTGATTGTAGGCTTGGTGGCTGACAATCATCACCTACCTTTCTAATATTTGAAGCCTTTGCTTAGTTAACATAGTCCCTCTTGAGTCACATCAGTTGTCTTCAGTGCAACTTTGTTTATTAAAGTAGTGCAGATCGAAGATTTAGCTGAGTCCTAACTACTTGGCAAGATCAAAAACATTTAACACCATTCTTACGTTTAGTTATTTCCTTCTTCATTTCTACTGTAATACGCTACAGCTTCTTGACACCACTGTCACTAACACTTATCACTTTCTTGGGAGCCATAATCAGGGTTAACTGAATGCAAAAAAGCATTACAAAAATTGTACCAAGAACAATGCAACAACAAACAGTGTTCACAGCTCGCAAACTTCAGTATAACTGAGACTGAGTTCATGTGTCAAGGCATTGTTCATTGTCTAGTCAAAATTTTTTCAGAACTGTGTTTATAGGCCAATTTGTTCAGGACTGTGTTCATGGGCCAGTTTGTTCAGATCTGTGTTCATGGGCCAGTTTGTTCAGAACTGTGTACCTGGGCCAGTTTGTTCACGACTGTGTTCATAGGCCAGTTTGTTCAGAACTGTGTTCATGGGCCAGTTTGTTCAGAACTGTGTTCATGGACCAATTTTTTCAGAACTGTGTTCATGGACCAGTTTGTTCAGAATTGTGTACATGGGCCAGTTTGTTCAGGACTGCGGTCATGGACCAATTTGTTCAGAACTGTGTTCATGGGCCAGTTTGTTCAGAACTGTGTTCATGGGCCAGTTTGTTCAGAACTGTGTACCTGGGCCAGTTTGTTCAGGACTGTTCATAGGCCAGTTTGTTCAGAACTGTGTTCATGGGCCAGTTTGTTCAGAACTGTGTTCATGGGCCAATTTGTTCAGAACTGTGTTCATGGGCCAATTTGTTCAGAACTGTGTTCATGGACCAATTTGTTCAGAACTGTGTTCATGGGCCAATTTGTTCAGAACTGTGTTCATGGGCCAATTTGTTCAGAACTGTGTTCATGGGCCAATTTGTTCAGAACTGTGTTCATGGACCAATTTGTTCAGAACTGTGTTCATGGGCCAATTTGTTCAGAACTGTGTTCATGGGCCAGTTTGTTCAGGACTGCAGTCATGAACCAATTTGTTCAGAACTGTGTTCATGGGCCAATTTGTTCAGAACTGTGTTCATGGGCCAGTTTGTTTCAAGATTGTCTAGGAAGTTAATGTGGGGCGATGAAGGATCTTTCTGCTGATGATTGGTGGACCCCTGCTGTACATGCAATCCTGTGTTCTTCTTCTTATTATTACTATGTTGTGTATATGCGTGTTAGTCATGTGTGTAATACTGTGTGTAATTGTGTGTCTGACAGTTATGTACTTCATCCTGTGTCTGTGTGTGACTGCCTCATGTGTTATGCTATAATTGATTGTGTGTATGACACCCAGATGTGTGCTATGATATATCTGATTGTCTGTGTTGTAGAACCTGCAGCACCAACCCACTGGCTGAGATTGTCCAGAGAGTCAAGGAGATGGGTGAGACCTTCTGTAAACATTATGCAAAAGTGAGTGGATTCTCTCTGATGTTCACAGTTCCTGTGTTGCTACAATGTCTTATGATTGTGATTTCTTCCCTTATCCCTGGATGTCTTTTCAATATACTTCTTCCCTTATCTCTGGATGTCAGTCTGTTCAATGTATTTTCTTCCCTTTTCTCTGGAAGTATCTTTATTATTACCTGTTTGTTGAATGTACTTTCTTCCCTCATCCTTGGTTGTCTGTCTGTTGAATGTACTTCTTCCTGCATCCTTGGTTGTCTGTCTGTTGAATGTACTTTCTTCCTGCATCCTTGGTTGTCTGTTGAATGTACTTTCTTCCTGCATCCTTGGTTGTCTGTTGAATGTACTTTCTTCCTGCATTCTTGGTTGTCTGTTGAATGTACTTTCTTCCTGCATTAATGGTTGTCTGTTGAATGTACTTTCTTCCCTCATCCTTGGTTTTCTGTTAAATATGCTTTCTTCCTGCATCCTTGGTTGTCTGTCTGTCTGTTGAATGTACTTTCTTCCTGCATCCTTGATTGTCTGTTAAATATACTTTCTTCCTGTATCCTTGGTTGTCTGTTTAATGTACTTTCTTCCCTCATCCTTGGTTTTCTGTTAAATATGCTTTCTTCCTGCATCCTTGGTTGTCTGTCTGTTGAATGTACTTTCTTCCTGCATCCTTGGTTGTCTGTCTGTTGAATGTACTTTCTTCCTGCATGCTTGATTGTCTGTTAAAAATGCTTTCTTCCTGCATCCTTGGTTGTCTGTTGAATGTACTTTCTTCCTGCATTCTTGGTTGTCTGTTGAATGTACTTTCTTCCTGCATTAATGGTTGTCTGTTGAATGTACTTTCTTACCTCATCCTTGGTTTTCTGTTAAATATTCTTTCTTCCTGCATCCTTGGTTGTCTGTCTGTCTGTTGAATGTACTTTCTTCCTGCATTCTTGGTTGTCTGTTGAATGTACTTTCTTCCTGCATTCATGGTTGTCTGTTGAATGCACTTTCTTCCTGCATTCTTGGTTGTCTGTTGAATTTACTTTCTTCCTGCATCCTTGGTTGTCTGTTGAATGTACTTTCTTCCTGCATCCTTGATTGTCTGTTGAATGTACTTTCTTCCTGCATCCTTGGTTGTCTGTTGAATTTACTTTCTTCCTGCATTCTTGGTTGTCTGTTGAATGTACTTTCTTCCTGCATTCTTGGTTGTCTGTTGAATGTACTTTCTTCCTGCATTCTTGGTTGTCTGTTGAATGTACTTGCTTCACACATTCTTGGCTGTCTGTTGAATGTACTTGCTTCACACATTCTTGGCTGTCTGTTGAATGTACTTGCTTCACACATTCTTGGCTGTCTGTTGAATGTACTTGCTTCACACATTCTTGGCTGTCTGTTGAATGTACTTGCTTCACACATTTTTGGCTGTCTGTTGAATGTACTTGCTTCACACATTCTTGGTTGTCTGTTGAATGTACTTGCTTCACACATTCTTGGCTGTCTGTTGAATGTACTTGCTTCACACATTCTTGGCTGTCTGTTGAATGTACTTGCTTCACACATTCTTGGCTGTCTGTTGAATGTACTTGCTTCACACATTCTTGGCTGTCTGTTGAATGTACTTGCTTCACACATTCTTGGCTGTCTGTTGAATGTACTTGCTTCACACATTCTTGGCTGTCTGTTGAATGTACTTGCTTCACACATTCTTGGCTGTCTGTTGAATGTACTTGCTTCACACATCCTTGGTTGTCTGTTGAATGTACTTGCTTCACACATTCTTGGCTGTCTGTTGAATGTACTTGCTTCACACATTCTTGGTTGTCTGTTGAATGTACTTGCTTCACACATTCTTGGTTGTCTGTTGAATGTACTTGCTTCACACATTCTTGGCTGTCTGTTGAATGTACTTGCTTCACACATTCTTGGCTGTCTGTTGAATGTACTTGCTTCACACATTCTTGGCTGTCTGTTGAATGTACTTGCTTCACACATTCTTGGTTGTCTGTTGAATGTACTTGCTTCACACATTCTTGGCTGTCTGTTGAATGTACTTGCTTCACACATTCTTGGCTGTCTGTTGAATGTACTTGCTTCACACATTCTTGGTTGTCTGTTGAATGTACTTGCTTCACACATTCTTGGTTGTCTGTTGAATGTACTTGCTTCACACATTCTTGGCTGTCTGTTGAATGTACTTGCTTCACACATTCTTGGTTGTCTGTTGAATGTACTTGCTTCACACATTCTTGGCTGTCTGTTGAATGTACTTGCTTCACACATTCTTGGCTGTCTGTTGAATGTACTTGCTTCACACATCCTTGGCTGTCTGTTAGTTGATCACAACCTTCTACACAACACCCATTATGTCTGCAGTTACCCCCAAGATTCTGTACCCAGAACCTGCTTCATGGCTTCATGTGGCCAGACTATTTTGTACTAAACTTTGTCGCTCAGCTCATAAATATCCATGTGCACTCTGGCATACATGTTGTTAGCGTGAGTTAACACAAGAAAATATGGGAGAATACTCTCAGTATCTGCACCAGATAGCATAAATGTGTGTGTGTGCACTAAACAAGGTGATTATGACCACACAACTGACTTTGTGCTGGGTGCTGTGTACACTTGTGGGGATAGCACCATTTACCCACTGGGCTTCATAGCCTGGACTTTGACTAGTGGGAGAGCTATACAGGCAAAGGGACCTTCATCAGACTGTTATCTTGACTTCCATCACTAGTGGAAGACATATAGAGACAAATGGATGTACCTTAGACTGTTTTCTTGACTTCCATCACTAGTGGAAGAGATATAGAGACAAGGGACGTACCTTAGACTGTTATCTTGACTTCCATCACTAGTGGAAGAGATATAGAGACAAGGAACGTACCTTAGACTGTTATCTTGACTTCCATCACTAGTGGAAGAGATATAGAGACAAGGAACGTACCTTAGATGTTATCTTGACTTCCATCACTAGTGGAAGAGATATAGAGACAAGGAACGTACCTTAGACTGTTATCTTGACTTCCATCACTAGTGGAAGAGATATAGAGACAAGGAACGTACCTTAGACTGTTATCTTGACTTCCATCACTAGTGGAAGAGATATAGAGACAAGGAAGGTACCTTAGACTGTTATCTTGACTTCCATCACTAGTGGAAGAGATATAGAGGCAAAGGGACGTACCTTAGACTGTTATCTTGACTTCCATCACTAGTGGAAGAGATATAGAGACAAGGAACGTACCTTAGACTGTTATCTTGACTTCCATCACTAGTGGAAGAGATATAGAGACAAGGAACGTACCTTAGACTGTTATCTTGACTTCCATCACTAGTGGAAGAGATATAGAGACAAGGAACGTACCTTAGACTGTTATCTTGACTTCCATCACTAGTGGAAGAGATATAGAGACAAGGGACGTACCTTAGACTGTTATCTTGACTTCCATCACCAGTGGAAGAGATATAGAGACAAATGGATGTACCTTAGACTGTTATCTTGACTTCCATCACTAGTGGAAGAGATATAGAGACAAGGAACGTATCTCATACTGTTATCTTGACTTCCATCACTAGTGGAAGAGATATAGAGACAAATGGATGTACCTTAGACTGTTATCTTGACTTCCATCACTAGTGGAAGAGATATAGAGACAAGGAACGTACCTTAGACTGTTATCTTGACTTCCATCACTAGTGGAAGAGATATAGAGACAAGGAACGTACCTTAGATGTTATCTTGACTTCCATCACTAGTGGAAGAGATATAGAGACAAGGAACGTACCTTAGACTGTTATCTTGACTTCCATCACTAGTGGAAGAGATATAGAGACAAGGAACGTACCTTAGACTGTTATCTTGACTTCCATCACTAGTGGAAGAGATATAGAGACAAGGAAGGTACCTTAGACTGTTATCTTGACTTCCATCACTAGTGGAAGAGATATAGAGGCAAAGGGACGTACCTTAGACTGTTATCTTGACTTCCATCACTAGTGGAAGAGATATAGAGACAAGGAACGTACCTTAGACTGTTATCTTGACTTCCATCACTAGTGGAAGAGATATAGAGACAAGGAACGTACCTTAGACTGTTATCTTGACTTCCATCACTAGTGGAAGAGATATAGAGACAAGGAACGTACCTTAGACTGTTATCTTGACTTCCATCACTAGTGGAAGAGATATAGAGACAAGGGACGTACCTTAGACTGTTATCTTGACTTCCATCACCAGTGGAAGAGATATAGAGACAAATGGATGTACCTTAGACTGTTATCTTGACTTCCATCACTAGTGGAAGAGATATAGAGACAAGGAACGTATCTCATACTGTTATCTTGACTTCCATCACTAGTGGAAGAGATATAGAGACAAATGGATGTACCTTAGACTGTTATCTTGACTTCCATCACTAGTGGAAGAGATATAGAGACAAGGAACGTACCTTAGACTGTTATCTTGACTTCCATCACTAGTGGAAGAGATATAGAGACAAGGAACGTACCATAGACTGTTATCTTGACTTCCATCACTAGTGGAAGAGATATAGAGACAAGGAACGTATCTTAGACTGTTATCTTGACTTCCATCACTAGTGGAAGAGATATAGAGACAAATGGATGTACCTTAGACTGTTATCTTGACTCCCATCACTAGTGGAAGAGATATAGAGACAAAGGGACGTACCTTAGACAGTTATCTTGACTTCCATCACAAGTGGAAGAGATTAGAAAGACTTGACAACTGGTGATCTAAACTAGTGTTAAAAGTGAAAACACCTGATGGTTTTCTGGGTTGGAAATACTGTGTGGTCCTCCGAGCTGAACCCAGTTAAGCAGACATGATTTACACATACAGCAGGGGATTAGTCTGACCATGTCATGGTGTAGTTTATGTGAAGTCACACATGGCTTCTTCTGCCCACAGTCATCAGAGGGCCACCCAGGCAGTAGGGCCGACTTTGCCCGCAAGCGCCTCCAGCTGGCAGAGAGCTTGTACTACAAGTCCCTGGAGGCAATTGTCCAGGGGGAGAGGAAGAGGTTGACTGCAGGTGACACCAAGGATATCAACTTGTTGGTGAGTCTCATTGTCTGTCTGTCTATCTGACCCTCAGTCTGTCTCCCTGTCTATTTGTTGTCGTTTGTTTCCTTGTCTCTCAGTTTACCCGTCTGTCTGCTAATCTGCCTGTCTGCTTGTCCATTCATCTGTTTTTCTGTCTGTACCTTAGTATTTTTTGTCCGTTTCTTCTTTCATCCATACACCTGTTAGTTCAACTTTCTAGCTGTCTGTTTATCTGTCCATCCATCTGTCTGTCTGTCTATGTGAGTGTCACTTCATCTGTCCATTTGCTTGTCTGTCCATCCTTCTATCTGTCAGGTCATCTCTCGGGTTGTCTGCATCTACTTGTCTATCCATACATCTGTGTGTCTCTGTCTGAAACGTGTTGGCTACTGTAATATACTTCTCTCAGAATCTACATATTATCTCTTTCTTGATGTTATCTGCTTTGATCTCTTTCTCGATATTATCTTCATTAAATCTCTTTCTCGATATTATCTTCATTAAATCTCTTTCTCGATATTATCTTCATTAAATCTCTTTCTCGATATTATCTCTATTAGAACTCTTTCTAGATGTTATCTACATTTAATATCTTTCTTTAAAAAAAAAATATCAACTATTTTGATCAGTCTACAATCTCTGTCTATATTGCATAATCAGTTTATAATTTAATATTATGTGTATAATATGTGTGTATGCCAATGAGTGACATGTGTATGTTTGTGCGCACGGGCGAGTGTGTGTTATCACACATTCTTGGCTGTCTGTTAGTTGACCACCACCTTCTACACAACACCCATGTCTGTGTGCGTGCGTGCATGCGTGTGTGTGTGTTTTAAAAAAAAATAATATTTCTTTTAAAAATATAAAGTGTTTTGTATGCCTATCTATCACACACTTGTAACATTGTTCAGAGGCATCACACGCTAACCAGGTGTCTGAAGATGACTGATTATGCCTCCAACTTCAGTGAAGTGTCTGTGGTGAAGTGTACTGGAAGTACTAAGTTAACACAGTTCTCAGAGTCATAACATACTACGAACACTGCGAGCCGACCACACCAGCAACATGTGCAGAGTCATTTCTGTACTCGTGCTTCAGCCTATTTATTTGGATGCAACACAACATGATGATGATGAGCATGAACTGGTGATGCAGGACGACTGTCCATCTAACGCTCCACCTATACACTATACTAAGCTACCAAGGCGGTGTCACATGACAGAGCACACCTCACCTCGACTCGGCGGGAGTCCACAACATTCTTCTCCCTGTCTTGTTTCCATAGTGATCCTACGCCTCCTCGCGTCGTCACCCAAGACAGATTCTTCTCCTCGGTTACTTGCCCTCACTTCGGGTCACCCTAACCGATATATGATAACTGGCTAAAGACCAGCCTTCTAGTCTCTTGACACACAGTCGAATCAGCATCATCATGAGGCACTACACAATTGCCGTCCTCACAGTAGCGCCACACTTCACAGCTCAGCTTCTGTCGGCCTTGTGGCACATCTCATGTTGGACTCTCCACGCCTTGTCTCCACAAAATACGCACACGGGATCATTTTGACGCACACACTACAGTTCTAATGCACAAGACCAACTTTCACTGAACTAAAATAATACCGAATTTTTGCTAAAAATTCACAGACACCTGAACATGAATTCACAAACATTGGAACATGCGCCCCGCACGTTCTGACTTGCTGAGAGGCACTCAACTCAAGACCCACGGTACCCCTTTATGTTCTCACTAGGGGCGTGCTATTCACTGTTATTCGTGAATCTCTCGGAACACCTCTTTCACGAATGCGTGCACATCATGAATCTGCACTCGTCTCTCACCTCAAGCCACGTGGACACCTTTTGCCCACGTCTCTGTTACCATCATCATCTGTGCCGCTTCGACTGGCGTAGGCTATCACCAGCCCAGTGAATTTAGCACCCAGCAGTGTGTATGTATGTGTGTGTAAGTGAGTGAGTGAGTGTGTGCATGTGGGTGGGTGTGTGTGCATGTGTCCATGCATGAGTGTGCATGCATTTTACTACCCATGCTTTTGTGTTTTTTTCCCCTTGATATTCAAAATGTGTGTATTATTATATCAACATAACATGGTTTATTGATAAAATACAACTGCTCTGTGAAAGATGAGTGCTTGGAAGGGCCGAATGTAAGTTGTGCCTGCGTGCCCAATTTGTGACCCTTTGAAAATAACGCTTGTTTGTTTTGTCATACTCTGTCGGAATGCCTGTATCTGTGTTGTGAATTGTGTGCTTGTATGATGCATGTGCTCTACTCTCTGTCTGTCTCTGTATATGAGATGTCCCAGAAGTCACTGACTGATGTTGGATGTCCCAGAAGTCACTGACTGATGTTGGATGTCCCAGAAGTCACTGACTGATGTTGGATGTCCCAGAAGTCACTGACTGATGTTGGATGTCCCAGAAGTCACTGAGTGATGTTGGATGTCCCAGAAGTCACTGACTGATGTTGGATGTCCCAGAAGTCACTGACTGATGTTGGATGTCCCAGAAGTCACTGACTGATGTTAGATGTCCCAGAAGTCACTGACTGATATTAGATGTCCCAGAAGTCACTGACTGATGTTGGATGTCCCAGAAGTCACTGACTGATGTTAGATGTCCCAGAAGTCACTGACTGATATTAGATGTCCCAGAAGTCACTGACTGATGTGGGATGTCCCAGAAGTCACTGACTGATGTGGGATGTCCCAGAAGTCACTGACTGATATGGGATGTCCCAGAAGTCACTGACTGATGTGGGATGTCCTAGAAGTCACTGAGTGATGTTGGATGTCTCAGAAGTCACTGAGTGATGTTGGATGTCCCAGAAGTCACTGAGTGATGTTGGATGTCCCAGAAGTCACTGACTGATGTTGGATGTCCCAGAAGTCATTCTGATGTTGGATGTCCCAGAAGTCCTGACTGATGTTGGATGTCTCAGAAGTTACTGAGTGATGTGGAATGTTCAGAAATCACTGACTGATGTTGGATGTCATAGAAGTCACTGACTAATGTTGGATGTTCCAGAAGTCACTGACTGATGTGGGATGTTCCAGAAGTCACTGACTGATGTGGGATGTCCCAGAAGTCACTGACTGATGTTGGATGTCCCAGAAGTCACTGACTGATGTTGGATATCCTAGAAGTCACTGACTGATGTTGGATGTCCCAAAAGTTACTGAGTGATGTGGAATGTCCAGAAGTCACTGACTGATGTTGGATGTCCCAGAAGTCACTGACTGATGTTGGATGTCTCAGAAGTTACCGAGTGATGTGGAATGTTCAGAAGTCACTGACTGATGTTTGATGTCAACAAAGTTACTGAGTGATGTGGATTGTTCAGAAGTCACTGACTGATGTTTGATGTCAACAAAGTTACTGAGTGATGTGGAATGTTCAGAAGTCACTGACTGATGTTTGATGTCAACAAAGTTACTGAGTGATGTGGAATGTTCAGAAGTCACTGACTGATGTTTGATGTCAACAAAGTTACTGAGTGATGTGGAATGTTCAGAAGTCACTGACTGATGTTTGATGTCAACAAAGTTACTGAGTGATGTGGAATGTCCCAGAAGTTACTGACTGATGTTGGATGTCATAGAAGTCACTGACTAATGTTGGATGTTCCAGAAGTCACTGACTGATGTGGGATGTTCCAGAAGTCACTGACTGATGTTGGATGTCCTAGAAGTTACTGAGTGATGTGGAATGTTCAGAAGTCACTGACTGATGTTTGATGTCAACAAAGTTACTGACTGATGTGGAATGTTCAGAAGTCACTGACTGATGTTTGATGTCTCAGAAGTTACTGACTGATGTTTGATGTCTCAGAAGTTACTGAGTGATGTGGAATGTTCAGAAGTCACTGACTGATGTTTGATGTCAACAAAGTTACTGAGTGATGTGGAATGTTCAGAAGTCACTGACTGATGTTTGATGTCCCAGAAGTCACTGACTGATGTTGGATGTCCCAGAAGTTACAGAGTGATGTGGAATGTTCAGAAGTCACTGACTGATGTTTGATGTCCCAGAAGTTACTGAGTGATGTGGAATGTCTCAGAAGTTAATGAGTGATGTGGAATGTTCAGAAATCACTGACTGATGTTGGATGTCATAGAAGTCACTGACTAATGTTGGATGTTCCAGAAGTCACTGACTGATGTGGGATGTTCCAGAAGTCACTGACTGATGTGGGATGTCCCAGAAGTCACTGACTGATGTTGGATGTCCCAGAAGTCACTGACTGATGTTGGATATCCTAGAAGTCACTGACTGATGTTGGATGTCCCAGAAGTTACTGAGTGATGTGGAATGTCCAGAAGTCACTGACTGATGTTGGATGTCCCAGAAGTCACTGACTGATGTTGGATGTCTCAGAAGTTACTGAGTGATGTGGAATGTTCAGAAGTCACTGACTGATGTTTGATGTCAACAAAGTTACTGAGTGATGTGGATTGTTCAGAAGTCACTGACTGATGTTTGATGTCAACAAAGTTACTGAGTGATGTGGAATGTTCAGAAGTCACTGACTGAGTTTGATGTCAACAAAGTTACTGAGTGATGTGGAATGTTCAGAAGTCACTGACTGATGTTTGATGTCAACAAAGTTACTGAGTGATGTGGAATGTTCAGAAGTCACTGACTGATGTTTGATGTCAACAAAGTTACTGAGTGATGTGGAATGTCCCAGAAGTTACTGACTGATGTTGGATGTCATAGAAGTCACTGACTAATGTTGGATGTTCCAGAAGTCACTGACTGATGTGGGATGTTCCAGAAGTCACTGACTGATGTTGGATGTCCTAGAAGTTACTGAGTGATGTGGAATGTTCAGAAGTCACTGACTGATGTTTGATGTCAACAAAGTTACTGACTGATGTGGAATGTTCAGAAGTCACTGACTGATGTTTGATGTCTCAGAAGTTACTGACTGATGTTTGATGTCTCAGAAGTTACTGAGTGATGTGGAATGTTCAGAAGTCACTGACTGATGTTTGATGTCAACAAAGTTACTGAGTGATGTGGAATGTTCAGAAGTCACTGACTGATGTTTGATGTCCCAGAAGTCACTGACTGATGTTGGATGTCCCAGAAGTTACAGAGTGATGTGGAATGTTCAGAAGTCACTGACTGATGTTTGATGTCCCAGAAGTTACTGAGTGATGTGGAATGTCTCAGAAGTTAATGAGTGATGTGGAATGTTCAGAAATCACTGACTGATGTTGGATGTCATAGAAGTCACTGACTAATGTTGGATGTTCCAGAAGTCACTGACTGATGTGGGATGTTCCAGAAGTCACTGACTGATGTTGGATGTCCTAGAAGTCACTGACTGATGTTGGATGTCTCAGAAGTTACTGACTGATGTGGAATGTCCAGAAGTCACTGACTGATGTTGGATGTCCTAGAAGTCACTGACTGATGTTGGATGTCCTAGAAGTCACTGACTGATGTTGGATGTCCCAGAAGTCACTGACTGATGTTGGATGTCCTAGAAGTCACTGACTGATGTTGGATGTCTCAGAAGTTACTGACTGATGTGGAATGTCCAGAAGTCACTGACTGATGTTGGATGTCCCAGAAGTTACTGAGTGATGTGGAATGTCCAGAAGTCACTGACTGATGTTGGATGTCCTAGAAGTCACTGACTGATGTTGGATGTCTCAGAAGTTACTGACTGATGTGGAATGTCCAGAAGTCACTGACTGATGTTGGATGTCCTAGAAGTCACTGACTGATGTTGGATGTCCTAGAAGTCACTGACTGATGTTGGATGTCCCAGAAGTCACTGACTGATGTTTGATGTCCCAGAAGTCACTGACTGATGTTTGATGTCAACAAAGTTACTGAGTGATGTGGAATGTTCAGAAGTCACTGACTGATGTTTGATGTCCCAGAAGTTACTGAGTGATGTGGAATGTCCCAGAAGTCACTGACTGATATTGGATGTCCCAGAAGTCACTGACTGATGTTGGATGTCCCAGAAGTCACTGACTGATGTTTGTTGTATTGCAGGGTCTCCTGGAGCATGAGTTCTTCCATCGGTCACTGTTTGCCTGCTGCCTGGAGATTGTCATTTACTCATATAATTCCCAGAGGTAAAGTGCCATTTACTTATAAAAATCCCAGAGGTAAAGTGTCATTTACTCATTTGATCCCAGAGGTAAAGTGCCATTTACTCATATGATCCCAGAGGTAAAGTGCCATTTACTCATATGATCCCAGAGGTAAAGTGCCATTTACTCATATGATCCCAGAGGTAAAGTGCCATTTACTCATTTGATCCCAGAGGTAAAGTGTCATTTACTCATTTGATCCCAGAGGTAAAGTGCCATTTACTCATTTGATCCCAGAGGTAAAGTGCCATTTACTCATTTGATCCCAGAGGTAAAGTGCCATTTACTCATTTGATCCCAGAGGTAAAGTGCCATTTACTCATAAATCAGCGGTAAAGTGTCATTTACCAATATAAAATCCAGAGTAAAGTGTCATTTACTCATATACGTCCCAAAAGTAAAGTGCCATTTACTCATATGATTCCCAGAGGTAAAGTGTCATTTTCTCATTTTATTCCCAGAGGTAGCCTATTATTTACTTGTCTAATTCCCACAAATAACATGTAATTTGCCTATATAATTCACAGAGGTAGCCTATTATTTACTTGTATAATTGCCAGAAATAACGTGTCATTTGCCTATATAATTCACAGAGGTAGCCTATTATTTACTTGTATAATTCCCAGAGATAACGTGTCATTTGCCTATGTAATTCACAGAGGCAACTTGTCATTTACTCTTATAATTCACTGGCACCTGTAATTTGTCTATATAATTCCCATGGGTAACTTGTCAGTTTAATGTGGTCATTTTCCTGCTGCCTGTACACCTTCCAGAACAGTCTCTAGTGCCCGTCAATGAGGCATCCATGTGTAACCAGTGCCCATCAATGAGGCATCCATGTGTAACCAGTGCCCGTCAATGAGGCATCCATGTGTAACCAGTGCCCGTCAATGAGGCATCCATGTGTAACCAGTGCCCGTCAATGAGGCATCCATGTGTAACCAGTGCCCGTCAATGAGGCATCCATGTGTAACCAGTGCCTGTCAATGAGGCATCCATGTGTAACCAGTGCCCGTCAATGAGGCATCCATGTGTAACCAGTGCCTGTCAATGAGGCATCCATGTGTAACCAGTGCCCGTCAATGAGGCATCCATGTGTAACCAGTGCCCGTCAATGAGGCATCCATGTGTAACCAGTGCCCGTCAATGAGGCACCCATGTGTAACCAGTGCCCGTCAATGAGGCACCCATGTGTGACCAGTGCCAATTTAATGAGGCACCCATGTGTGACCAGTGCCAATTTAGTGAGGCACCCATTGTAATGATGTGGGAAACTATATGACGTCAGAAGGGATTCCCTAACTGGACGGGTCAGAAGTGTTTGGGCCAGGTAAGAGAACAGCAGTTGCGAGGGGATAGATGGCAGCAGCTGCCGAAGCCGTATATAAATGAAGTGAAAGGAACTGTTTCACTGTATATCAGGAATGACAGACAGCTGCAAAATATAGATTCAAGTTGTAACAAGGCAGTACACAATTCTTAGTGTTTGAATCGATATGTATAACAAGAGAAACTGTCAGGACGATAATGACAATGCCAGTGAGGTTGAAGCAGCAACAGTAAACATCTGTGTAAGAATTCTGAGTGTCTTCATGATGTGTCATTGAAACTAACACTGACCATTGGTGTAACACTGTAGCTAGACAAACGACCCATTACTTTACAACCATGTGTGGAAAGTGCCCAAATGCAGAGGTCAGGAGAAAGTTTCAGATTTTGATTTCCAGGACTTATGGACAGGGTGAAAGTAAAGTGAGTATTGTGATGAGGTTACTGTTGAAGGTGTACTGGCAGGCAGTGTCACCTGACCTGATACTGGTGACAGTGTACTGGCAGGCAGAGTCACCTAGCCTGATACTGGTGACAGGGTACTGGCAGGCAGTGTCACCTGACCTGATACTGGTGACAGTGTACTGGCAGGCAGAGTCAGTATGTGTGACACGTGTTGTGTGTGTGGCACCAGTTGTATGTGTGACACCAAGTTGTATGAGTGACACCAGTTGTATGTGTGACACCAGTTGTATGTGTGACACACAGTTGTATGTGTGACACTAGTTGTATGTGTGACACTAGTTGTATTTTAGACACTAGTTGTATGTTAGACACAATTTGAATGCGTGACACCAGTTGTATGTTTGACACAGTTTGTGTGTGTGGCACCAGTTGTAAGTGTGACACCAGTTGTATGTGTGACACTAGTTGTATGTTAGACACTAGTTGTATATTAGACACCAGTTGTATGTGTGACACCAGTTGTATGTTTGACACCAGTTGTATGTGTGACACCAAGTTGTATTTGTGGCACTAATTGAATGTGTGACACCAGTTGTATGTATGACACCAGTGGTGTGTGTGACACCAGTTGTATGTGTGACACCAGTTGTGTGTGTTACACACGTTGTATGTGTGACACCAGTTATGTTTGTGACACCAGTTGTATGTGTGACACCAGTTGTATGTGTGACACCAGTTGTATGTGTGACACCAGTTGTATGTGTGACATTATTTGTATGTGTGACACCAGTTGTATGTGTGGTATTATTTGTATGTTTGACACCAGTTGTATGTGTGACACCAGTGGTAATTGTGATACCAGTGGTATGTGTGACACTAGTTGTATGTGTGACACCAGTTGTATGTTTGACACCAGTGGTATGTGTGACACCAGTGGTATGTGTGACATCAGTGGTATATGTGACACCAGTTGTATGTGTGACACCAGTTGTATGTTTGACACCAGTTGTATGTGTGACACCAAGTTGTATTTGTGGCACTAATATATAATTGTATGTGTGACACCAGTTGTATATGTGACACCAAGTTGTATGTATGGCACCAGTTGTATGTGTGAGACCAAGTTGTGTGTGTAACACCAGTTGTATGTGTGCACCAGTTGTGTGTGTGACACCAGTTGTGTGTGTGACACCAATTGTGTGTGTGACACTAGTTGTATGTTAGATACAATTTGTATGTGTGACACCAGTTGTATGTGGGACACCAGTTGTATGTGTGATATTATTTGTATGTGTGACACCAGTGGTATGTGTGACACTAGTTGTATGTGTGACACTAGTTGTATTTTAGACACTAGATGTATGTTAGACACAATTTGAATGCGTGACACCAGTTGTATGTTTGACACAGTTTGTGTGTGTGGCACCAGTTGTAAGTGTGACACCAGTTGTATGTGTGACACCAGTTGTATGTTAGACACTAGTTGTATATTAGACACCAGTTGTATGTGTGACACCAGTTGTATGTTTGACACCAGTTGTATGTGTGACACCAAGTTGTATTTGTGGCACTAATTGAATGTGTGACACCAGTTGTATGTATGACACCAGTTGTATGTGTGACACCAGTTGTATGTGTGACACCAGTGGTGTGTGTGACACCAGTTGTATGTGTGACACCAGTTGTGTGTGTTACACACGTTGTATGTGTGACACCAGTTATGTTTGTGACACCAGTTGTATGTGTGACACCAGTTGTATGTGTGACACCAGTTGTATGTGTGACATTATTTGTATGTGTGACACCAGTTGTATGTGTGGTATTATTTGTATGTTTGACACCAGTTGTATGTGTGACACCAGTGGTAATTGTGATACCAGTGGTATGTGTGACACTAGTTGTATGTGTGACACCAGTTGTATGTTTGACACCAGTGGTATGTGTGACACCAGTGGTATGTGTGACATCAGTGGTATATGTGACACCAGTTGTATGTGTGACACCAGTTGTATGTTTGACACCAGTTGTATGTGTGACACCAGTTGTGTGTGACACCAAGTTGTATGTGTGACACCAGTTGTATGTGTGACACCAAGTTGTATGTGTGACACCATTTGTATGTTTGACTTCAATTTATATGCTGCAATCAGCTTCACTAAGTACATTGAAATATAGATAAAGTTGAAATCATCAAAGTGTTTACCCTGTTCAGTGGGGACCACCCAATACATCTGATCTGTAGTATCAGTATTTTCCAGTCTGTACCCATCAGATTTGGAACAATAATCAACCAGCATGGCTAAATGCTACTAGGGAAATGTCCTGGGAAGTACAAGTTGCTGTTGAGCACATCAGCCACCGATGGTACGTCAGTTTATGAGTCTAGCTTCACATGCCTATTACTCCACTGGCATAAACTCTTTCCACCCATCAAAGCTTATAGAAACAAGGCCATAAACTCTTTCCACCCATCAGTGCTTATAGAAACAAGGCCATAAACTCTTTCCACCCATCAAAGCTTATAGAAACAAGGCCATAAACTCTTTCCACCCATCAAAGCTTATAGAAACAAGGCCATAAACTCTTTCCACCCATCAGTGCTTATAGAAACAAGGCCATAAACTCTGTCCACCCATCAAAGCTTATAGAAACAAGGCTATAAACTCTTTCCACCCATCAGTGCTTATAGAAACAAGGCCATAAACTCTTTCCACCCATCAAAGCTTATAGAAACAAGGCCATAAACTCTTTCCACCCATCAGTGCTTATAGAAACAAGGCCATAAACTCTTTCCACCCATCAGTGCTTATAGAAACAAGGCCATAGACTCTTTTCACCCATCAGTGCTTATAGAAACAAGGCCATAAACTCTTTCCACCCATCAAAGCTTATAGAAACAAGGCCATAAACTCTGTCCACCCATCAAAGCTTATAGAAACAAGGCCATAAACTCTGTCCACCCATCAAAGCTTATAGAAACAAGGCCATAAACTCTGTCCACCCATCAATGCTTATAGAAACAAGGCCATAAACTCTTTCCACCCATCAAAGCTTATAGAAACAAGGCCATAAACTCTGTCCACCCATCAAAGCTTATAGAAACAAGGCCATAAACTCTGTCCACCCATCAATGCTTATAGAAACAAGATGCTGTTGTCATGAAACTCTTTCCAACGTTTTTCTGAGAACAAGTCACTGCAGACCGGTGATACATGTGTGATGTCATCCCCCTCACATAACTGCTGGGTGATACATGTGTGATGTCATCCCCCTCACATAACTGCTGGGTGATACATGTGTGATGTCATCACCCTCACATCACTGCTGGGTGATACATGTGTGATGTCATCCCCCTCACATCACTGCTGGGTGATACATGTGTGATGTCATCCCCCTCACATCACTGCTGGAATTACCTTTAATAACTTGGTTTTTTGCAGATTGAGGAGAGCATTCTGGAAAGTTATGCATGGAAAGGCAACTCGCCACTGTGGGATGCCCTCAAGGAGAGTTCTGTGCCTACTTGTGAAGAGGTAAGTCATTGGCTATAAGGATATCACTACATGAGAAGTCAGTGATTGGCTTTCAGAATATTTACACATGAGGGGAAGTCAGTGAATGTCAGAATATCTACACTTGAGGAGTCAGTGATTGCCTGCTAGAATATCCACATATGAGAAAAAGTCAGTGATTGGATGTTAGAATATCTACACATGACGGGAAGTCAGTGATTGGGTGCTAGAATATCTAAAAGTGAGGGGAAGTCAGTTATTATGTGTCAGAATATCTACACATGACGGGAAGTCAGTCATTGGGTGCTAGAATATCTGAATGTGAGGGAAAGTCAGTGACTGGGTGCTAGAATATCTAAACATGAGGGAAAGTCAGTGATTAAGTGCTGGAATATCTACACAGGAGGGGAAAGTGATTGGGCGGCAGAATATCTGCACTTGAGGGAAAGTCAGTAAATGTCAGAATATCTACACTTGAGGGGAAGTCATTGGGTGCTAGAATATCTGAATGTGAGGGAAAGTCAGTGATTGGGAGCTAGAATATCTAAATATGAAGAAAAGTCAGGGATTCAGTGCTGAAATATCTACACTGGGGGGGAAGTCAGTGATTAGGTGGCAGAATATCTACACGAGGGAAAGTCACTGATTAGATGCTAGAATATCTAAACTTAAGGGTAAGTCAGTGATTGGATGCTAGAATATCTACACTTGAGGGAAAGTCAGTGATTAAGTGCTGGAATATCTACACAGGAGGGGAAAGTGATTGGGCGGCAGAATATCTGCACTTGAGGGAAAGTCAGTAAATGTCAGAATATCTACACTTGAGGGGAAGTCATTGGGTGCTAGAATATCTGAATGTGAGGGAAAGTCAGTGATTGGGAGCTAGAATATCTAAATATGAAGAAAAGTCAGGGATTCAGTGCTGGAATATCTACACTGGAGGGGAAGTCAGTGATTAGGTGGCAGAATATCTACACGAGGGAAAGTCACTGATTAGATGCTAGAATATCTAAACTTAAGGGTAAGTCAGTGATTGGATGCTAGAATATCTACACTTGAGGGAAAGTCAGTGATTCAGTGCTAGAATATCTACACATGAGGGGAAGTCAGTGATTGGGTGCTAGAATATCTACACTTAAGGGAAAGTCAGTGATTGGGTGCTAGAATATCTACACTTGAGTGGAAGTTAGTGATTGGGTGCTACAATATCTACACATGAGGGGAAGTCAGTTATTCAGTGCTACAATATCTACACATGAGAGAAAGTCAGTGATTGGGTGCTAGAATATGTACACTTAAGGGGAAGTCAGTGATTGGGTGCTAGAATATCTACACATGAGAGGAAGTCAGTGATTGGGTGCCGCAGACACTCACAGGGCCGTTTTTTAGTTTTTGAAATTGGCAGCATCAGCTAGCTTTATGATTTAGCTTAGCACACTTTCTAGCTTTATCTTTTTGTTGGAGCACTCTGTTAGCACACTTTCTAGCTTTATCTTTTTGTTGGAGCACTCTGTTAGCACACTTTCTAGCTTTATCTTTTTGTTGGAGCACTCTGTTAGCACACTTTCTAGCTTTATCTTTTTGTTGGAGCACTCTGTTAGCACACTTTCTAGCTTTATCTTTTTGTTGGAGCACTCTGTTAGCACACTTTCTAGCTTTATCTTTTTGTTGGAGCACTCTGTTAGCACACTTTCTAGCTTTATCTTTTTGTTGGAGCACTCTGTTAGCACACTTTCTAGCTTTATCTTTTTGTTGGAGCACTCTGTTAGCACACTTTCTAGCTTTATCTTTTTGTTGGAGCACTCTGTTAGCACACTTTCTAGCTTTATCTTTTTGTTGGAGCACTCTGTTAGCACACTTTCTAGCTTTATCTTTTTGTTGGAGCACTCTGCTAGCACACTTTCTAGCTTTATCTTTTTGTTGGAGCACTCTGTTAGCACACTTTCTAGCTTTATCTTTTTGTTGGAGCACTCTGCTAGCACACTTTCTAGCATTATCTTTTTGTTGGAGCACTCTGTTAGCACACTTTCTAGCTTTATCTTTTTGTTGGAGCACTCTGTGAGCACATTTTCCAGTGTTACCCTTCTCTCTCTGTACACTCTGTGAGCACAGATTCCAGTTTTATCTTTCTCTCTTTGTACACTCTGTGAGCACAGATTCCAGTTCTCTCTTTCTCTCTTTGTACATTCTGTGAGCACAGATTCCAGTTTTATCTTTCTCTCTCTGTACACTCTGTGAGCACAGATTTCAGTTCTATCTTTCTCTCTTTGTACACTCTGTGAGCACAGATTCCAGTTCTCTCTTTCTCTCTTTGAACATTCTGTGAGCACAGATTCCAGTTCTCTCTTTCTCTCTTTGAACATTCTGTGAGCACAGATTCCAGTTCTCTCTTTCTCTCTTTGTACACTCTGTGAGCACAGATTCCAGTTCTCTCTTTCTCTCTTTGTACACTCTGTGAGCACAGATTCCAGTTCTCTCTTTCTCTCTTTGTACACTCTGTGTGCACAGATTCCAGTTTCATGTTTCCTTATGTCCTTACCAGTTGAGATTTTTTTGGAGTTGTGAATACTAAAATGCAAGGTGTCTTTGCATCCCAGAGTAGAAGAGGAAGACTATAGAAGACTGTCACTGTAACTTTACATACGAGGGTATGTAACTAAATCTAATTTGGCTGTCTGTCATTCAGGTGTTACCGTCAAATCAAATAGAACTCAGCAAACAAAATGCAGCACCGGTGGCTAAACATCCTCGACTGCGTTCTCTGGTCGGTGACATCAGATCCGTGATACAGAAAGGTATGTGTCTAGTGAGACATCTGCTTCTTGTGCAGTGTGATAACACTCATCTGTACCTGCTCTCATTTATACCTGCTCTCACTCATCTGTAACCGTCCTCACTCACCTGTACCTGCCATCACTCACCTGTACCTGCCATCACTCACCTGTACCTGCCATCACTCACCTGTACCCGTCATCACTCACCTCTACCCATCATCACTCACCTGTACCCATCATCACTCACCTGTACCCATCATCACTCACCTGTACCCGTCATCACTCACCTGTACCCGTCATCACTCGCCTGTACCCATCATCACTCGCCTGTACCCATCATCACTCACCTTTACCCGTCATCACTCGCCTGTACCCGTCATCACTCGCCTGTACCCGTCATCACTCGCCTGTACCCGTCATCACTCGCCTGTGCCTGCCATCACTCGCCTGTACCCGTCATCACTCGCCTGTACCCGTCATCACTCGCCTGTACCCGTCATCACTCACCTGTACCTGCCATCACTCGCCTGTACCCGTCATCACTCGCCTGTGCCTGCCATCACTCGCCTGTGCCTGCCATCACTCGCCTGTACCCGTCATCACTCACCTGTACCTGCCATCACTCGCCTGTACCCGTCATCACTCACCTGTACCTGCCATCACTCGCCTGTACCCGTCATCACTCACCTGTACCTGTCATCACTCACCTGTACCTGCCATCACTCACCTGTACCTGCCATCACTCGCCTGTACCCGTCATCACTCACCTGTACCTGCCATCACTCACCTGTACCTGCCATCACTCACCTGTACCTGCCATCACTCGCCTGTACCTGCTGACAGTCACCTGTACCTGCTGACAATCACCTAGGCCTTTACCTTTCACTTGTACCTGCCATCACTTACCTGTACCTGCCATCACTTACCTGTACCCATCATCACTCACCTGTACCTGCCATCACTTACCTGTACCCGCCATCACTCACCTGTACCTGCTGACAGTCACCTGTACTTGCTGACAATCACCTAGGCCTTTACCATTCACTTGTACCTGCCAACACTCACCTGTACCTGCCATCACTCACCTGTACCTGCCATCACTCACCTGTACCTGCTGACAGTCACCTGTACTTGCTGACAATCACCTAGGCCTTTACCATTCACTTGTACCTGCCAACACTTACCTGTATCTGCCAACACTCACCTGTCAACACTTACCCATATCTGTCTATACTCAGCCACACCTACCAACGTCACCTGTACTTGCCAACACTCACCTTCACCAACCATCATTCACCTACATATGTCATCACCAAGACCTGTGAACACTCATCTTTACCTGCGAACACTCACCTTCACCTGCCAACACTCACCTTCACCTGCCAACACTCCCTTGTACCTGCCAACACATACTTGTACCTGTAACAGGGTTCATAACCAATCTGGAAACTTAAATTTAACCTGGAAATTGCGGCCCTGTCCCGGAACCTGGAATTTGACCTTGGAATTTCAACCATACTAATGGTAGAGTTGAAGTAAAACAAACTGTCATGGGAAGACCTGCGATTTGGGGCCATTTAGCTTTTTTTGGCTATCTTCATTTTAAATGTTTACCATCGTTTCCAGTATGAGGGCAGTTGATTATCGGCCATTTTCAGCTGAAATGGCTTGTTAATTGCTAGGGAAGGGTGGGCTGTGTTGCAGCCTATGGATACACGCAGATAGCAGAACATGGCATATGGGGGGTGGGGGGGGGGGGGCACCAGCCTTGTGTGCTGTGTGGGTGTTTGTGTCTAGAAACAGGGATTATATTGGCAGATGGTGGAGCTAAGCAAAGTGAGGTCGACTGTATTTCACAGTTTTATTTTTGGCCCGTATTGTCTTTATAGTGTGTTTAGTGATCAACAGTGTAATTGCCCCCATAGCTTCTCTCTTCTTTTCTCTCACCCATCTCCCTTCTCTCTCTTTCCTTTCCTTTCCTCTTTCACTCTTCTAACTCTGTCCCTCTCCTTCCTGTCTCCTGCATTGTCTCTCTCCCTCTCCTCTGATCTTTATGTTCTTTTCCTTCTCTTTCTTTCCCTTTACTCCATTCCTGGCTCTTCCCCCTCCAGTTTGTTTTCTTGTTTACTAAATGTGCTGCTCCATTAGTCTTTTTCTGGTAACCGTGTCGAGTCTGGAGTGTGGGGGGTAGCATTAGCCTGGTGGATGTTTTCTTTTGATGGGTTATGTTTGTTATCGGCCTTAAGCCTGCTCCGTTTTTGTCCTACCTGTTTCTTATTATTTGCTTGTCTGTCACTGTCTTCCTCTCTTTTTGTATTTGCCGCTCTCTCTCAAACTGCGCTGACAAAAATGACAGACAACTGGCACCTTAACATCAACAATGGCAAAATTTGTGGTGCCGTATTTGTTGACTATAAGAAAGCCTTTGACATGGTTGATCACAATATTTTAATTACTAAACTAAAGACCTTAAAAGATAGGCAGCAGGTAGTCTCCCTCAGTAACCGTTATTCAAAACCCACACAGTTAAATATAGGCGTTCCTCAGGGTTCAACATTGGGTCCACTACTGTTTGCTACTTATATTAATGACCTTCCGTTACATCTCAGTATAACATGCGATCTGTTTGCTGACGACTGTACAATATATACTAGTCATGACAATTGTAATGAATTAGAACGTTCTTTACAGAAAGAAATAGATAAACTCATAAAATGGAGCAATGATAATCGCATGCACATTAACATTAATAAAACTAAATCTATGGTGATAACAACTAGGCAAAAGCTGCAAACATTAGCTGTACACAAGCCACCGCTTGAGCTCTTCATTGACAAGCTACCTATTGTTAATGTAGTTGAACACAAAACATTAGGTGTTTTAATTGACAGCCATCTAACTTGGAGTTCCCATGTTCATGCCATGACCAAAAAAGTAGCTTAAAAAGTATATCAACTTGGAAAAATTCTGCACTTTCTGGACGAAAATACACGTAAAATATTTTACGTATCCTACATTCAAACGCATATTGACTATTGTTCCACAATTTGGGATGGCTGCTCCAAATCTAATGTCAAACGGCTGAGTTCTCTACAAAATAGGGCCTTACGCCTAGTTTCTGATAGAAACTACGTTGAGAAAAATCTTTTATATGGACATCTAAGGCTTCTGCCATTTAGTAAACGTTTAATTTTTAATAAGGCCAAATTTATTCACAAAATCCTATCTAAAGATACTCCAAATTACATTGACCGATTGATTCAATCTAATCCTAAGAATAGCAAGCGACTAGGTTTATTACATTTGCCTAAACCCAGAATTGATTTATTTAAAACAAGTCTAGCATATTCTGCTGCTCATTTATGGAACCATCTTCCACCCGATCTGAAAACTACAAAAAGTCCTTACTCATTTAACCGCAAACTCTTTCATTTCATGATTATCAGTGATTACATGCCACCTTAAATGTAGTTAATAATCCACAATGCATTACTAGTTATAATTAATTGCACGTATGATATGTTTGTATGCGTATATGTGTGACATGCTGGCGTGTGTAGGCGTATGTGTGTATGTATGATTCTGTGTATGCATGGGTAACTGTATACGTTTGTGTGTATGTATCTGTGTGTAGGCGAGTGTCTGTGAGTGTGTGTGTCTGTCTTTATGATGTCTGGGTGCGTGTCTGTGTGTGTCTGTCTGCGTGTCAGTATGCGTGTCAGTCTGTTGTTTGTCTGTGTGTGTGTGTGTTTTTATGTCTGTCTGTATGTGTGGCTGCGTGTGTGTCTGTGTGTGTGATTGTATGTGGAAATGTGCGGGTGTGGCTTGGCTGTATGTTTGTCTGTTTGTGTGTATCTATGCTGTGTCTGTAGGTGTTTCTGCGTGTGTCTGTGTGTTTATGCCTGCGTGTGCCTGTGTGTTTCTCTGTGTGTTGTTTCGTGTGTATTTGTATGTTCATCTTTTTGATAATGTGTGTGTGTGCGTCTGCATGTGTGTGTCTGTGCGAGTATTTGTGCGTCTGGGGTGTGTTAGTATGTGTTTGTGTATGTCTATGTGTGTCAGTGTGTGTGTGTGTGTGTGCCATTGTGTGTCTGTAGGTGTGTATGACTGCATGTGTATATGTGTCTGTCTGTGCGTGGCTTTGTGTGTATCTGTGTGAGTCTCTATCGGTGTGTCTATTATATTATGTCTGCGAGTCTCTGCTTGTGTCGGGTTATGCGTCTGTGTGCGTATATATGTATGTATGTATATGTGTGTGTGTGTGTGTGTGTGTGTGTGTGCACGCGCGCGTGCGTGTGTGTGAGTGTGGGTGGGCGGGGTGGGTGCGTGCGCGTGCGTGTATGTATGTGTGTGTGCATGTTCGTATGTGTGTGTGCATGTTCCTATGTATGTATGTGTGTGTGCATGTTCGTATGTGTGTGTGCATGTTCGTATGTATGTATGTATGTGTGTGTGCATGTTCGTATGTGTGTGTGCATGTTCGTATGTATGTATGTATGTATGTGTGTGTGTGTGCATGTTCGTATGTGTGTGTGCATGTTCGTATGCATGTATGTATGTGTGTGTGCATGTTCGTATGTATGTGGATGTATGTGTGTACTTAGTGCCTATATGTTTGTGTGTAAGTGAGTCATTGGGCTTGTGTGTGTATGTGGGTGTGTGTGTTCGCGCGTGAGCGTGCACACATATTTTACCAGCCATGCTTTTGTTTTTGACTTCATATATATAATATGCATATTATTACATGAATATAACATGCTTCATTGATGAAGTACAACTGCTGTGTTAAAGATGGAAGTTTGGAAGGGCCGAATGTAAGACAGGAATGCGTGCCTAATTTGTAACCCTTTGAAAATAAAGTTCGTTCGTTCGTTCGTTCCCTTCTCTCTCTTCCCTCTCTCTCTCTCTCTCTCCCCCCCCCTCTCTCTCTCTCTCTCTCTCTCTCTCTCTCTCTCTCTCTCTCTCTCTCTCTCTCTCTCTCTCTCTCTCTCTCTCTCTCTCTCTCTCTCTCTCTCTCTCTC